AGGTGGTGGACTGTCGCCGGCACATTGAATGAGCATGCCGGCCTTAGGGAAGGTGAGACAGAGAGAGAAAGAGGGAGGGAGAAGAAAAAACAAGGATAACACTAGCTCTTCCCCACGAGACCGTCAGGCGACAATTAACCAGTCAATCAGAACGGCGATTAAGTATATCCACATGAGGCAGCACAGGGCCAAGTCCTATCCGATGAAAGGATGTGAAGAAGGAGATTTCACGCGACATCCGATGAGAATTGGAAGGTCGAGACCAGTTTGGCAGATTACTATCTTGACGAAGAGGGAGGCAGAGGTGAATGGACGATATGTTCTCTCGTCAATAGATTCGATGCGATCCTATCAGGAAGACTGGGGACCGGGGGGAGAAAATTCGACATTATCAGCTAATCAATCCTTGCAATCAACAAAACTACAAACGGTTTCATGAAATAGTCATGAGCACTAACCTCTTTTTTTTAGTATTCTAAGCGTCATTGAGCTCTGCCGGAGTCTCATCGCCTGCAAGGAGATGCAAGGTCTCTCGAGTTGCCTTTCCACATCTAACATGATGTAGACTTTTAGGATAAATCAAGGAATCTCGCAGAGAATGGGCAAAAAATCTCGACAACGATTCATAATGTTACCTTATTAAAAGCTTCAAAATATGTTAATTCCTAAAATAAAATATTCAGAAGAAACAAGTGCCGGCACAACCATCTTTATCCGGTACTATGGCATCCCTGTCTCATAATTTAAGGGAATGATTAATGTATCATTGTAGAAATTTACAGGTAATTTCGTCTCTTCAAATATTCACATGAAAAGAGCATTTTCATTTGAATACGCTAAGTAAAACATAAGTATGTATTAAGAGAAGTCAACCCTGAGCATACGCCATATTTTATCCAATGGTGAGATATAGTTTTGGATTTCTGCAGCTGCTCATAATAATACGGCTAACTAAAACCTGTGTCGTCCTAACACGTTTATAATTCCTCACAAACGGGGGGGACTGGTGTACCAATCGCAGTAGTTTCTCATTTTCCACATGGTATTACTGTGGAGTTTATCACAATCGAGTTATGGTGTGCCAGTCGCCAGGTAATGCACACTTGGAATCTAAGATTGATTGGGAATATATCCCACTTGTAAGTTGGCACATGCTTAAGATGAACGATGACTACCATGTGTGGAGTTTTGGCCCATAGTTAAAGGAAACGGGACTATCTTAACCTAGTCCAAAGTGATAGAAGGTTTGCGATTATGCCAAGGATGTTTCAGATTTTTGGTCAAATATTAAGTTTAATCATATTCGTACGACTCTGAAAATAATAATTCACCAAGAAGCTATAAAGTTCTTCACATTGTCGCTTCTTTCTGGTATCGCGCTCTGAAGGGGTTTATTTGTTCAGGAGAGGTTTAATGTTAGCCAGAACGCTAGGATTCTCCGTTAAATGGATTCCTCTGATATCTATCACCGTCTTAAACCCACTCAAAACTGAGCAGAGGTGGTCGAGAGAGAAATGGAAGGGCAATATACTTGTAGGCTAACGTAAATATATATGCATATTTGCAGAGAGGAGAGAGGGAGAGAGAGAGAGAGAGAGTGCCCCTTTTTATTCACGAGTCCATGAAGAAGACGATGGCCATCAAGGCACCGCGCACGCTGTAACTGAACTCGAGTAGTCTCCGGATTCCAAATTTTGTGGCGGACAGTAGGCCACGATTGAATCGAAACCTCCTTCCACTATGCTTTCGATCCTTCAAACAGAAAACGGTTCTCATCTCTCTGCTATCATACGAGTACTCTTCCCACACAAGACTGCTGTAGCCCGGCGGCGCCGTCACGGTGGGCATTCACGGAGAAGAACGGAGAGAACAGGCAGGTGCAGGTAGATGGGGACGGCGGCTTCGTCGGCGGACGCGAAAAAAAACAGCCGGACGGCCCCATTAAGACACTGCAGCTCCACCTTCCGCCACTGCTACCCTTCCTCCGCCGACAAGGAGCATCTGTCTCCGCCCAACTCTCTTGCCCGCTCGCGAAAAGCACGCTTTTTTGAGCAGTTGATCCACTAAGGGAGAGCCCCGGGGGGGAGGGGGGGTCGTTCAAGCCGCGTACGAGGAGAGCGGCGCCGTTCGCGCGGTTCCCGAAGAGCCCGCGGATTATCCGGCTTTCGCTTTCCTCATCCCCTTATACCGGCGGTCAAAGTGGTCAAGGGACCGACAGTACAACCTCCCTCTCCGAGGGAAGTGGATACGCTCCTTGGGATGTCCAGGAGGGCCAAGACGGTGTGGGTGACGCCATCTTAGGCCAAAGGACCGGATGTAGCAGGCGATGAGAACAACCTGGGTTAGGGTTTCCCCCACATACTCCGTCCCCGAGGTCATTTCCCCAGTGGAGAAGCGGAATCTTTTCTGTGTTGGAGAGCTTCCCCCTTTGATAACCCCCCCTCCCGGCGCCGATCGAAGAAGTGAATGGCTCCAGCTACATCTCCAGCATGTCTCGTAGTTGACGCCCATCTCTGTCCTTCTCGCTGAAAGTTTTCGCCGGTGCAACACGGAGCGGAGCGTCTCCCGCTGCCAGCTGCCGGAGGAGTTATCTGATGGCCCAAACTTCGAAAAGCCGGTCCCCTCACGCCGGACACCACACGCACCGCCGGTCTACTGGTCACTCACTTAATGACAAGATACACTCGGCAGGAGGAAGTAAAATCTTCGGCATGCAGCTCAGCCCTAAAAGACCAGTTCCACTCGAAAGAGACCGTCCGGCCACTCCTATAGCCATCTGCATCTCCTCTATCGTCTCCGGTTCAGCAATACTCTGCTACTTTCAATCGCTATCCGAGCTATGGCGGGTCGGTTCATCCGGGTTTATGCGGTTCATGTCCCCTGACTTTATTTTCACCGTCGCTCGCATCACCTCGCACAGAGTTCGGCCTTCCCACGCTCCCATCCATGCTCCATTAAGGCATCTGGTCTCTCTCGCCATAAAGGCTCTGTAGCTTGCGTGCCATGGTTCAGGAAGAAAAGCATCCGACGCGACGGCCGTGGAGGGCCATCGTCTGAGTTCAACAGTTACAATCAGGAGGATATCATGCGAGGACGACCTCCACAAAATCCGTGCCGGCTGTGGATGACTCATGAGATAAACCATTTTAAGTAAGCGAGCAACGAATCATTAAATTTTACAATTCAGGGAATGAATCCGAGAGTATACAATCTGTCCTGGTTCTACCATAAAACATGAGCTAAATCTATACATATCTCGGCGATTTATTTTATTTTCCGCCTCTTGTACGTCCGCAAATCTATCTCGCAATAGATAGACTGACAGTAGCAGGAGTAACTCCGTCAAAATCATATATTTCCCTGACACTGGCAGCGGTACAGCCTCTGGACTTGCCCATCTTCTCCCCCGCCATATCAGATCAACATGCATGCAGTACGTAGGACACCCTTCTTCGTCTCTCTCTATGCTCCTTTTTCTCATCACAGAAGACCGGGATGAAAACGTCACCATCAAAAACCGTCAACTTACTCGGTCAGCGGTCGTCTTCATGTGTTCTCATTCTTTTGATCCACAGTAACAGAGCATGAAATCTGGCAAAGATTTCCCCCCGATGTACTTGCCATCTGCATCTTCTCACTGAATGGGTTCTCACCGACGATCATGTCGGTAAGTGACGGCGATCACCATCCGTCCAATCGACTACAGAGCTCGACGTGGATGCATGGGGTCACAAGGTCCAGACACCGAGATGATCGCGTCGGACGGCCTTGATGGCGACCTACAACCATTACAGCCCTTATCGACGTGATGGGGGTCGTCAGGAGGGGGGGGGGCGCGGCAGAGCACTTGAGCGTTGGAAATTGACGACACTGGTGATTGAGATAGGTAGAACTGCGGGGGTGTTGATGGGCCTCCGTCCCGATAAAGATCCAGTAACCTCTCCCTCCCTCCCTCTCTCTCTCTCTCCCTCTCTCTCTCTCTATTGTGTGCGTTGCTTAGAGCAAGGACTGACGTTGGTGTAAGGAGAGCAGTGAGTTTCCGTGGATGACGCGCATGTGTCTCACAAATCAGACGGACTGGATTGTCGCGGAAATCACGGAAAAGCCACTGCTGTCTGATGCTGACCACGTTGAAGAGATCTGCTGTCATCGGGTGGTAATTTACTAGAAGTTGATGGGGTTTCGGTGGGAACCGGTGGATGGAGATTTCGTTGCTGCCCATTATGTCTCACGCCATGAGAGAGAGAGAGAGAGAGAGGTGGGGCGATCACTCTCCGCGGTGAACTAGTCCCTGTGCTCAGTAATAAGAGAACAGAGGACCCGTCGTGATAACCGGGGATAAAGTTTCGGGAGCCAGTATTATTTTATTTATTGAGAGAAACAGGGGAAAGGGTGGGGGCGATCACTCCCCACGCTATGTTGCTAACCAAACCCTTCTCCTCGATTGACCTAACCTTAACTTAAAACATAAAAACACACCACACAGGACAAAGGGGGAAAGGTCATTACCACATCCCAACCTCTCTCTCTCTCTCTCTCTCTCACCCTCTATTTTTCCCCCGTTCGTGCTCCCTTTCCGCCCGTCTTCTCTCCTGCAATCGCCTGAACTCGACACGTCTAGGATAAGAGAGGAGAAGGTAAACTGGAGCAGGAGATGGCAACTAGATTTCCCCGATAATCCGACCGGAGATGGCAGCCAGAGAAAGAAGGGGAGAACGGTCGAAGATTCAGCTTTTCCTTTCACCTCTCTGAAGGTTAGTACCCACCTGAACCTGTTCTGCAACGAAAGATAGATTAAGGCATCGAGGCCACGGCCGTATCCCATCCAATCCATTCCCTTCTCTCCAATTTTCCATCTGCTAACTTTGATCCTCTTCTTTTGCACCCAGTCCCCCTCCGGCTGCACCGTTCCGTCTCGTCGGTTTTCATATTCGAGCCACTTTTACGTACTTGGGAGAGATACAGTGAAAAAAAATTAGGAGGCGTAGGAATCCCAAGATATGGATCCACTGGCAGCGTCCATCCAAGGGCATCACCTCCCGCCGCCCTTCCACACCAGAGAATTCCACAACCACCACCATCTGCACCATCATCCCCAGCTCCACCAGCAGCCCATATCGGAGCACGAGCCCAGAGGCCGGAAGAGGGAGTACGATGATAACAACGCCGCCAACGGGAACAACAGCAGCGACAACAGTAACAACAGCGGCGGAGAGAGCAAGGAGATAGTTCCTACTTCCGGCTCGGCCTCCGCCATCCTGGACCAGATGAATCGCCGCCCACGCGGGCGGCCTGCTGGTTCTAAGAACAAGCCAAAGCCGCCTATCATCATCACGCGCGACAGCGCGAACGCACTGCGAACCCACGTCATGGAGATCGCCAGTGGGTGCGACATCTGCGAGAGCATCTCCACCTTCGCCCGTCGCCGCCAGAGAGGCGTCTGCATCCTCAGCGGCAACGGCACGGTGACCAACGTCAACCTTCGTCAGCCCGCTGCCATGGGGACCGTGGTCGGCCTCCAAGGCCGCTTTGAAATCCTATCCCTATCCGGATCCTTTCTGCCACCGCCAGCACCTCCTGCCGCCAGTGGGCTCACCGTCTATCTGGCCGGAGGGCAGGGCCAGGTCGTGGGAGGAAGTGCTGTGGGAGCTCTGATAGCATTTGGGCCTGTGGTTATAATGGCTGCGTCGTTCGGCAACGCGGCGTATGAGAGGCTTCCCCTCGACGAAGAGGAGACCATACCGTTGCCTCTTGGGCCGCCCCTCTCACACCAGTTGCTGCCCCCGGAGCAACAGCACTTGCCGGACTCAAACGGGCAGCTGCTTCAGAGTCTCCCGCCAAATCTTCTCAATAGCGTTCAACTGTCTCCGGAGGCTTACGGCTGGGCATCTGGTGGCGGCCGGACGTCCTACTAAATCCGGTTCCGAAGACGAAGTTCACGCCCTTGAAGTTTTTGGTAGCAACGAACCGCTTTATCTCTCTCGTCCTTCCTCTCTCTCTCTCTCTCTCTCTCTCGCTCTCGCTCTCTCTCTCGCACGCTCGCTCGCTCGCTCGAATTTTTATTCAATTCCTTTTCGATTTGAGATGAAATTTTTTCTCGCCCTTATTGAAGAAGCATGTACGAGTCTTTAGCGCTTGGTTTGCCCCATTTGCAGTGAGGATATCCTGCCCGAGAAAGTTCTTCTGGTCCTTGAATCCGGATGGAATGGGAAGGTGATGGTGGAACGGCAATTATCGTGATAGATTATGAAACAAGATAAAGCTCTTGCCACATCCTTTCCAGTATTTCATGGTTGAAATTCTCATATTTTAGCTCAGACTTACCATGTAAGTTTTCCGCATATAACACTCTTGCTCGTTCTTGTGCTTCGACGTAAATACCTGTGGGTAACTCTCTCTCTCTCTCTCTCTCGATCTCTCGCTCTCTTAGAAATTTGTGCCTGACCTTCTTGGGATTTCTGCGCACTAGAACTGCACGTTCAATTGTTCCAGGGACAGTAAGACCCCGTAGAACTTTTTTTTTCATATACCGTCTTCTCTTCCCTGACCGTTGATTGGTTTCTTTATTTTCCAAAACGCGCCAACATCATGGATTCCCATACACAGCAAACATCTTCTTTTAATAGCTTATCATCTTCTACAGTTGCTCTCCCATTTAGGGATCTCTCTTTAATGATAATCAGAACCCTGAAAAGATTTTACGCTTTAGGGTTCATGGCTTCCTCCCCACGTAGTTCTGCGGGACGCTATCCTCAGGGAACAGTGAAGTTGTAGGCTACTGTCTCACACGTGCAGGAGCTCAAGGGGGGTACTACTCGAGGCTCGAAGTTCCATTAAATTGCGATAACCGGGGGGTTAGAGTTCATCCAGCCAGTGTCAATCTGTCTTAGAAAATTATTTGTCTACGGAAAAGAAGGTAAGAGGGAAAAGGAGAGTTGTCTGGCGACTACTGATCCACGGTTTCCAAAGGAAACAAATGCCGGAAGTATTACTATTAAACTACGAAGAGACGGGAGGAGTTAGCCGGTTGTGCTCAGGATACGACACTTGCTCAAATCAAGGACATTGTTGACTGCACCATGCTTCACCTTTGCAGCCCATGTTCCTATACTTCTCGGGAGGGGCGAAATCCTCGATGACCACCAATTATCCCTGGCCGTGCCTCTCCTATCGTCTCCTTGGTTACAGCGCTGGTCTCGCCCAGTCTTTCAAGCTTTCTGAGGTTGGGAGGAAGGGTGAAGCATGTAATTCATCTCCTCGGCCGTGGTCTCTCTCGTCATCATCTTGGTTCGAGGTCTGGACTGATCGAGAGCTTCTGTTGTGGCCAATCTAAACAGTCTCGAGGATAGCTTTCAGAGGGATCAGGAGGTTTATATATCAGTTTTAGATGTAATTTTGAGATATTGAGATCATGGTGTTGAGGAAACGTGGCCAGTTTTCTTTCGGTTGTGAGGACTGAACGATGTTTTGAAAAACCTTGGGAGAAGTCCGTGTTGAGGAAAAAGAACAAAGTGAGATATATCTTCATTAATCTATTTAATTACTGTTGGAACGATATTGGCATGCTGATCTTCGAGTTCCATTTGCGTATGAACTCTCCTAGAATATTAAATCTAGGCATGCTCTTCCGTGCCGAGCCCAGTATTGTGAAGAACAACATATCATTTGATGGGCACAAGAACGAATCTCAGTAAAGCTTTCTCTGATAGTTAGGGTAAGACGCCCAAGCATTTCTTCTTGTGTAATCTGAAAAACACAGCTAATGGTTTTCATCAGCATGCGTGATTGGGAATCTAGGCTAGATTGGGGCCTCCATCGCCCCTCTCTGAGTTAGAAAATGGGAGACTAGGGAAGGGATTTTTATAAAGACCGAGAGAGGATACCATATGCGTGATCCTGAGATGGATATGTCGGTGGCGAAGACTCTTTTTCTCCTCACTGAAAACTTTCTAAACCTGGACCTTGCTTAAAGAGGAATCAGTCCTGTTCACATTTGTCGTGATAGCTATCATTTTGAGACCAAGGTCCATAAAACCCCCCAGTTTAAGACTACCCACCCCGTCCAGAGACAGACACCTGATCGTCAGTTTTCTTCCGTTCACTTTCGAGTTCAAAATAAAATAATACAATAAAATCAGCCCTCGTAGATAAAACGTACTCCTGATTTGGAGGTAAACATAGCTAAAGAAGACTCTGCAATTTTCTGATTTCCGAGGGAATCGATATATACGGAAAGCATTCATTCCATAAATGCTGTTGCTCAATCAATCCACTCAAATAAGGATTTTCCTAAATTATTAAAAAAATAAGCATCTATTTAGCTTCATAACGAAAAAAGGTATATTTTTGGTAATGTTTAGTGGCCCATTTTCGACGAGAAAAATGCTTGCTCCACATAAAATTATATCAGAGATATTGCATCCTATGAAAATACTTTAAAACAACAGCTATCCTCCAAAAGCACTTTCGACGATGATCCCATCGACATATCATTTACGCCACGCTTTTTGATCTAGGGTTGGAAATTCTCTCTTCATCCAGGTTACGAATAGAATTTCATAGCGTGTAAGAGGGCCCATTAGGCCCATGAGTAATTTGATTCGTTTCCAGTGGCTGGTCCCTGGGGATGTGTGCTTGCAACTAGGTGGCAGAAATTTTTTCCGTTTGAATTACTAGAAGTAAATATAAACCCGAAAATCACTCGATCGTCAATAGTCACATAGCTACCCAAGAAAAAAATCTAAAAGAAAACGACATATGTGGTAAAAAAACAATTCAATAAATCAAGAATAGAAGATCCCCTACTCAATGAGAATATGGTAGAAAATGAGTAAACTAGATCACCAAAGAACCCTGATAGAAAATTCAGTAATATTAAATTATTATTTAACTAAGAAATATCTTCTTCCAACATATTCTTGGAAACCCATGAAATGAGAGCTCTAGTTGATGCTTAAGCATCACTTATTAGTGTTTAACTACAGTAGTTTGGATACCCTAGTGAGAAAAATAATAATCAACGAATGAATCTAGTCCATATTCATTACTAGATACTTAGCTTGTGTATACATATATTGCTGTGAGACTCAATAAATAATCTCTTGCCCAGTGATCAAACACTAATTGTAGAAACGCAATGAAAGTATTTTTCTCATTAAATCAGGCATAATATAAGATGGTTGACTTTACTGTAACTAATAATTAAATAATCCTTATAGAGTATAGAAGTCCTTGTCCATCACTTACAAAGTGAAATATGATCACATTCATAGAATAAGTTTTCACAGGCACAAGATATTAATTTGGGAATTTATGCAAATAAAAGGTCAAGTATGACAATCAATCTCAATTCTATTTTAGCCAACAGCATGGTACCGTTACAAAGAGATTTTTTTAATACTTCACCATATTTAATTTAACCATCCATGTGATACTCAAAATCAATTATGAAAAGTAAATTAGTTTACTCTTTTGATAGCAACAAGACTCAACATTGGGAAAAGTTCATATAATTGGTAAAGTATTTTGTGATTAGTTAGAATGTAATATTATCAATGTGGGATTTCTACTTTGGCCTTACACGATGTATGTTTCACTTGCTTGTAAAACTGATTTGACTAAGTGAATCTGCTAATGAGTCAACTAACTATTTGAAAAATAGAAAGAGACATAATGGATCATGCTATCGTCTCAAAATGACATGAATTTCTAAGGGTTATAAAAATAGTTTATCACTATTTTTATAATTCTCAAGATAAGTTTTTCAATATAAAAATATGATTCAATCCTTCTATATGCTTGGTCAACTTTAAAATTATAAAACCTCCAAAAGCCAACAAAAACAAGAGCACAAGTCTAGTTTTAAAATGATGATCTTGGATCCTATAAATCCTATTTAAGAGACTAAGGGATAAGAAGTTAGGTGGCATTAACCTTTATAATGTATGATTTAATATGATTAAATGACATTACTGATGCTGCTCCTTTGATTCTCGGAAATAATTCATTGTAATGAAAAAAGGTCCTAATTTTATTTTTTAGGCAATCATTATAGTCGGTAATTATTTAATTGTTTAACAATTACTCTACAAGTGACAAACCAAAAGAAATAAATGAAAACTATGCAATTATATTATACTAAACTATCACATGGATAAATAGTTAGTCTTTAGCTAAATCACTTAATGGCATATTTAAATATAAAGAAAATGTAAAATCATTTGAGGACAATATATGGATTAATAGATTGACTAATAGATTTATTAATACTATGGAGAGTATTATTTTCAGCCCATGTGAGAATATTACAATGTGAAAAAATAGAAATAATGCAATTTTAAAATATTTCAGCCAATGTAAGAATATTACAATGTGAAAAAATAGAAAGAATACAAATTAAAATTATTTTCAGTCCATGTGATATTTTTTTAATACACTTACCTAGAAGCAATATACCTCTTGATTTTGAGACGCAACCAAGGGTTCAATTTATTTATAGTAACCATTATTATATAATTTATTAAACTTAAAGTTAAGATCATAAATAATATGGTTAAATTTAATCAATGTTGGATCATCCAAATGAAAAAAATACATACATTTATCTATGTTATACCTAATAATCCGTCTTGATATATATTATATAGTATATCTACAATTTTATTTTTCTGACCAAAAATCGCATAATGTCTATATTTACATTGTAGATAGCATAATAATATTGTGAAAGAAATTAAATAAGAACTTGAAAGCCTGTGACTGAATGACCTATGCTTGCGGCAGGGACCGAACTAAGGTCTATCAAAAAGTCGTACAAGGTTCATCATGCCATAGCCGTCCGATCGAGATCAACCGTTAGGAACCGACAAAAGACCACCAGGTCTCTTCTCTGCGAGGATCCAGCACGAGGCTTGAATCGTACGGCTGGTGTTCGGTATCCCCTCAGAGGATACCCTTCGCAGGACGTGATATCCCCTTTCGGGGCAACGTCGCAAACAGCAGGAACTTACTGCAACCAATTGGCATTCTCCGAGTGTGCTGTTACATAGAATTGATGGACCTCCACGCGACGGCCCAATGAGCATCCTCTCTCTCTCTCTCTCTCTCTCTCTCTCTCTCGCTGCTACATATCCAGACGTGGAAGAAGTGACCAAAGGCGCACAGAAAGAAGCTGGAGCTCGCCGTCGCATACAAGGAAACCAAATGAATACATCCAAACCAAAGGACCCAGATAGGTTCCTCGGCATGTTTAAGATGAAGAAAATAAACTTCTGGACTGGGATCGGCACTGATGAAAGTACGTCAGGGATCGTCGGACCGGCCGCGCTGGCGGCGGCAGCGAGGGCGGGGGATGGCCGGATATTCATCGGCGCGGCCGCCGCCGGGGGAGGTCTTCTCGCTATTGAAGCGGCACGTATGTTGGAGCTGCGAGAGAAGGATTTGGTTCTCGCGGCGAAGGACGGAAGCTTTCTCTCGCAGCCTCTCGTTCTCCTCCATGATGCACCGGTTCTCGAGGTAGAGTTTCATGTTCACCGCTTCCATCTCCTTCTCCTCCTCCTCCCTCCCCCCATCACGTTCTCCTCCGGGCTTTGAGGCTCTTCTCCGCAGCAAGTGGAACAGTGATCTGCCTCTCCGTCCGAGGCACCCGCCCGTTAGAAAGAAACACGGCGGAAGAAGAAGAAGAAGAAGAAACACGGCGGAAGCATTACCTCCTCTTGGGGATGCGCCACCGTTGCCGGCGCCGGCGCAGGAGCTGCACCCTCCGGCCCCCGCCACGGCTGTGCATGGCGTACGCTCGAGGAAAGTTCCTGTTGCGGATCGGCATATAACACCTCCGGCGAGGCGAAAAGGCACTGGTGGGACGTCTGGAAACTGTTCACACGGAGGAGAAGGGAGGTAAAGATCACTGGATGCACCGTGAGATGATGAAACATGAGAGCAACTGGGTATAAATAGAGACACCGGGCATTATTCCTGACGCAGAGAAGAGAATGATGACGACGGCCACATACACCCCCCACGCCCTTCGCTCCCTTCTCTCTCTCCTCTCTCTCCCTCTATTATTCTCTCCAAGGCTCTTAGGTGGTTCAAGGTTTTAGTCCCACGGGGTTATGATGGTGCGGGGCCCAAGCGGACTAGAGAGAGAGAGAGGGGGGAGGAGACAAAGTAGAAGGCCAATCAAACCCTAAAGCGCCGGTTCATCATCATTGTGATGCCCTCAGGGTCCACCAGCCGCAATGCCCCGGTTGACGAAGAGGAGCGGGGATGAACGGAGCAGACAATCCCAATGCCTTAAGGTCTCGAAAAACAATGGAGATTCTCTAGCGCATTAGCCGCATCATATAAGGGTGGCCGTGGGGGAGGACCCGATTGGAGTCAACACTCGCACAGTCCTTCGACTGCGTGTTCACTGTGCTCGTCTCACCATCACCACCACCATCATCATCATCTCTCTCCCTCTCTCTCTCTCTCTCTACTTGATACATAGAAAGACATCCAAGATGACGTCGAGAGCGGCAGAGGGCTCCATCATGGCAGGAGTCTCTCATGATGCGTCTTTGAACTTGGAAGAGCCGGGCCAGAACAAAAGAGATTGGTCCTTCCCAAGGGAAGGGGGGGCACACAGGACCAACTCTGGACCACTTTCCTGCTCTCTATGTCCTCCTTCCTCCCTCCCTTAAACTCGGATTGAAGAGAGTAAGAAAGCGGTCCAGAGAAGGCCGTTCTAGAGGGGCGAAGGAAGTGAGAAGATGTGGGAAGAATTTATCCGCGGACTAGAAAGGCTATTTACATAAAGCCTGCCAAAATCATGCACGTGTCAGCGTCTCAGAGGAAAAACCCAGGGTCTCGCCATCATGGCCTTCATCTCGTTTTCCTGTCTCCTCGGTATTTCCCAGTTGGTGAGGACACAGGAGACCCCCACCCCGTCGGGCCACCGTCTCGACTGGGAAACGCCAGTGCGCTTTCAGTTCATGGCCCCACGGTAAACACACATTGGGGACGGGGAAACCACCTCGTGGTGAAATCCCCCCGGAGATGATCTCTTGACTGACTCCATAAATGAACACCAAAAACGAAGAGAGAGAGAGAGTTGAATCACCAGAGATCAGTCACATCTCTCTCTCTCTCTCTCTCTCTCTCTCTCTCTCTCTCTCTCTCTCGCTATCCTGATGACCACCGAGAGGAGAGCGAGAAATAAGGAGGAACTTACAGCGGAACATTGATGGGAATCATCAGAATTCTGTAATGCGACAGAAGATTTATAGGGGGATGACGACGATGTGCAGAGTGGTTTTTATAATTTACATGCGAACTCTGACGAGAGAGGGAGAGGGGCAGCGAGTAGAGATTCAAAGACGACTGGTGTCCTGGGGCATGAGAGAGTGAGGAGCGGAGTTTAATGCATGGGAGAGTAGTAGGAGGGGGATGAGGAGGGAGACGAGCTGAGGTGGTGGGAGGCTTGTCGGTTCCCGACCGCTCGGCTGGCGCCGCTGCAGTCAGCGAACCTGACAGGGACTGCCGCTAAGTGTTGATGGGGCGATCTGTGACTGAATGCCTGTGACTAATGCACAGTGGATGTGGCAGACCGAGGTCCCAGCCAGTTTCCCTGATGGGCCCAGCTCTGAGCTTGTCTCTACTCCACCTCCCCCTCTGACGGAAGTTTTCTCCACACAGAGATGGGAGTTCATGCGGACGACAGAGAGAATCTGAGACGATGGGGGTCTAGTGAAAGGAAATCGGTGAGCACAGATGGTTCCAGCTTGGTCCCGCACCACCGGCCAGAATCAAGGACGACGGCATTTAAACGGAGGATAGGAATCTTTCTGAGGCAAATATCTTTCTGCCCAGTTGGTTGCCACTGATTCATTCACAGAAATGGCATTCGGACAAGGTTCCGGGACATTTGTGGCTGGTATTGGGCTGATGGGTGGTGGAGTTAGTCTCCAGGGCCTTTCTGGGTTTCTAAAGTATGTTTCTGGTTTGATGGGTTCGGTTTTGTTTCATTCAATTCAAAGGTGGACGCTTTCTGGATCTGAGAATGGCCAACGAGAAAAGCTTTCAATCGATCACATTTCATGGATTAACTTCAACGAGAGAGGTTGGAGCTCAAAATGAAAGAAGAATGAACCTCTCATGCCAAAAAAAAACATCGACAGATGCAGTGAAATCACAGGAAGAGCAGGAGGCCTACCGTTCCAGGGCATTCTCGACACAACCTTCCCACAGAGATCCCACACGGATGCTACTGCTGTCACTATTGTTGAGAGAGAAACCACCAAACGCCTTTAGAAACGAAGATAAATGAGAATTGTAAGGATTTTGGAGGGTTACAAAAAAAACTTCACCAGTACCTTTCAAAGACCTCAGACCTGAGGAGGCAACGCCATGTCGGCAGGAAAAGGGTACCTTCTGGTTTCTGTAGCACAGCATATGGAGGACATCTGTCCTGCCTTCGCAGCAAACGGGAGTACATTTACATGGAGGTGGCAGACACAAGCAAGAGGATTGTGCAGCCGCGGGCTCCGATCTCAGAAAGGATGATACAAAGAACAAGGCAGACGGCGAGACAAAATAGAGCATGAAAGAGAGGGTGATCTCGTTGGAGGAAACAGGCTACCTGATGAGGATTACTCACCCCTAATGATGTCAAAAATGTTGAAACTCGGCATTTTTGAGATTTCTAATTTCTGAGCAACAAAAAGATACGAAACCTCGGAGCCATGCATTCGTTAGGGTTATCATCACTGGAGCATCAAGAGTTGTCCTTGAAAAGTAAGTTTCCTGGTCTGGCAAAGAAAGTGAGATGGAAAGCTTGATGATGTCTTTGAGATAGCTAGAAAAAGTAATTATGGTGCACAACAGTCGAACCAATTTTGAAATCCTTCATAAACTTTTTATCTGACATCAGCATTTCTAGGGTTAGTTTTCCCCTGCATGGAAATGGAAAGGTGATCCAGAGCCGCTTCCCCACCTCTAACATTAGCTCTCAAAGTCAAGAATCTCTTCCTTGGTTTTACCATTCAGATGACAGCAACTTTAGACAATGGCAGACCTTACACATAAGGTTCTATCCAGCAAGCGGGTTCGCATGGATTGTCACACGATTTAACCTGATCTCTGCAAGAGGCCGATCTCCAGGACCTGTTTGTGTCTTCATGTTGAAAAGAACAGTAATAACATATTAGGTGAAGATTCAGATAGTGTGTGTGTGTGTGTGCGTGTGTGTGAGAGAGAGAGAGAGAGGACAGGAGTAATGTGAGAAATAATATATGGCATATTTGGTGACAAAAGAAAAGGTACCTTCTCCATAATATCCAGAACTTCAAACCCATGAATTACTCTTCCGAAAATTGTGTACAACCCATTCAGATGCGGCTGCTTCGCATAAGTTATGAAAAATTGGCTTCCGTTGGTGTTAGGCCCACTATTTGCCATAGAAAGTATTCCCCTCGCGTTGTGCTGTTGAAACAAAAATAAAACTGAATTGTTATTTCTCAGAAAAACAGACAAGGTCTAGAAGAGGCGTGGTATGGTCCAGAAACATTAGCTGCTGATCAATTTTCCGTATAGCCTAGCTGAGAATGAGTTCTTGAAATCAATACAAAGAAATGTACCTTGAGAGATTCCCGTATCTCATCATTGAATTTCTTTCCCCATATGCTGGTGCCCCCCTTCCCCGTCCCTGTAGGATCCCCACCTTGAATCATGAAGCCTTTTATATTACGATGAAATATGGTACCATCATAGTAACCACTGCCGCACAGAGCCAAGAAATTCTGCAACAATAAGATGGTGTTACTGCTTTGTTCGCATTAGAATCAACTGCGATAGAAAGGTGGTCAGCAGCAGAAGAGAAACTCGTTAGCAAAGCTACGATGGAATTATCAATGAATGACAGATGAATAAAAAGAGTATGAAGAAAATTAGCGCGGTTTCCCTGAGGCAGACCTCAATTGGTTATATATTGAAGTTCCAAGAAACAACAGATAAGCTAATTACCGAAATTGAGTAAGTACTTCACCATTTTGCACAAAACAACTTCTCTGATGCATCCGCAATTTTTTTTTTCTGGAGAGCACCTACACTCCTGGAGTTTTGGTGCCTCGTACCAGAGTAGCAAGTCAGATTGATGAAAGTACTTGATAAGAACAAGGAGCCACAAATGGATTATCTAAACATTCACCTGACCCAGTTGACTTCAATACCCAACTGAGCTTTACAGTCAACTAGGCTCCTCTTGGACAGTGAAAGACAGAAGTTGAAGGTACCTTCTGTTAATCAGCGTCCACTTTAGCTAATCCGGATAGGGAATGTGGATATTGTGCCAGTTACGTCCTTACCTTCGAATAAGGTCGTTCAAGAGAATCTAAAGGATGAAAAAGCCTATACACGCAGACTCAAAAGCTGGACAACAAAAAATATTACGTTTTTTTTATGGCGAGTAAACAAGTTATTTTGTGCACTCCCTTCCAACATTATATGAAAAATTAAGGCCATCAGAAATATGAGTTAGGATTCTAGATGGATATTTTTGCCACGGTTGGGACATAATACTCATATGACTAATTGCTGCTGGAAAACTGATGTGCGTGAGAAAAAATCTACAACACCTTTTTATTCGCTGATTTCTTCTTTAACCCTTTGTTCCTACCTTGACCAGGCACCCTAACCAAACAAACGCCCGGGGATATATACCAGCATCTAATATATAAACTAAAGTAGTGGCATACATCGTATCGTTCTTAAATAAAGTTTAGTCAACATCTGTGGATGATAAACCAGAGTTTCACGAAACTAAGTTTTCTTTGACTCATTAATTAATGCATTTGACCAAATATTTTCCAGTTCTTCAGTCTCATCAGATAATATATCCCTGTTGCAAATGCTGCTTCATCTTCTTAGAGACTTATGGATTGCATAAACATTCGAGCGAGCATCATAAGGTTCTTGAAGGTGGAATTTATGGGGTTCACACAGATATTCATGTTGCAGGTAGTCTGAAAGCAATTAATTGGATATTTCATCAAGCACATGAAATTTCCCTTCTGTAGATATATCATGTAGACTGAGCACCAAAACTGCAGAATACTGAACTCACGTTGATTCTATACAATGCATTGTTGGTCATGTCGCCTTATCCGACTTTGCTACCAACAGCGTACGATTAGTGTACAGTCAATCAGCCCAGATTTGTAATAGGAACCGAAACCCTAAATTATTCTTTATAAGCTGGCACTAGTTATTTGGTTTGGTTGCATCCATTTAAAATATGTTTCCGGAATCCAAAATTATTGCTTACGAATTTTCCGATTGATACATGAGGCATTGACACGCTTTTCATATGCCAATTGTGAGATACGACGTTGCCTAGAAGCCGACTAATAGAGTATAAACATAGGCTTATCAGAAATTTTCATATTTCTGCATTCTCGTCAATACACAAGGCCATTGATACAATTACTGAGAAGTTCATAGAGTGCGCATTATTCTTGTATCTATCCAACGGAGAGGAACTTCAAAGAACGCCAAAGAAATTATCATTCCACGAACAAGGAAATAAAATCACCAGGATGATAACGGAGGAAAACAGAGTACGATAAAGATCTCTTAAAAAGTTAAAATACCGATCAAAGTAAACCGTATGAAATGAGAAAATGATACAAGGAAACTGACGGACGAACACTGAGAGAAAGGAGCGGACCTCGGCCGTCTTCGGGACCTCATCGCATGCGATCTCACACTTGATGTCTCCGAGGTTCGTATGCAGAGTGACCGACTGCAATTGACAACAGCGAAAAATAAACAGGAGAAAATGCGTCAAGTCCGTAAGCCAACTATTCCCCGGGCTCCGACCAGAAGACAGAAAGAGAGCGACGGCAAGACAATCAAAATAACAAGGATCAAGGAAAGGGTTCAGAACCATGGCGTCCCTCTTCTGCTTCTTCTGCTTCTTCTGCTTCTTCTGCTTCTTCTGCTTCTTCTGCTTCTTCTTCTTCTTCTTCTTCTTCTTCTCAGCGGTGCTCGGCTTTCTCTCGCTGGCAGGAGCAGAACTGGAAGCTTCTCTCGTGTCCTTGAAAACCCGATTCCTCAACTTTGAGCGGCTCGAGTCCTTTTTTATAGCCACGGCGGACATTGTGCGATTCTGTCATCTTTGGGACCTCAATCATTTGGGCTGAAAGTAGGCCCATATTATCCGGCCCGCCTACAATATCCGGCCCATAAACTCATATTCTTTGCCATCTCTCTCTCCCCCTCACCAACTACTCGGAATGTGGGTTTGGGCCTATAAAGGGCCTTCCCTTTAGCCCATGAACATATTATGGGCCTGTGAAGGGCTCAAACGGGCCCATTGACAACCACGCGCCTCCCAAATCTCTGTTCCTTGCTAGTTCAGTATGATCTGACGTCAGAAAAACGTGCGCTTCGACCAATCAGAGTGCAGGGTCGTACAGCATATTCGCGAGTGGCCAATCTCCGCCACGTAGGTTTGATTCCCTTCAACGTATCTTCGAATTGTTTACTACACGTACCGGCCGGACAGCTGTCTGACCAGCGCTGGGCCAGTGGGCCGGGCCCAGAGCCTCGTGAGTCCAGCTGTGGTCATAACCGACCGTCCAACGGCCTGGCCCATCTCCGAACTAACCGTTATCCCACGTGGACAACAGCAACGCAAGAGCGAAAGGCCACGTACCCCCTTGAGGCAGGTCGATGGCAACGTGGACTCCGGTTTCCTCTTCCCCTACGTTCGTCCTCTCTGTCGTTAGGAGGTCCTTCTCTCCCCTCCTCGCCTGAGAGGAAGAGGAGGCGATTGCTTCCCTTCCCTCTCCATGGAGAAGGGCGTTTGATCTGGTACGCCAAGGTTAAGGTTCCAGCATCGCCTCCAGGGTGATTGTGGGCAGGCCACCGTACGCAGACTTCTGCCGGTTATGAAGCCTTCTCATCGGGCACCCGGGGTCGGCATCGAGATGCCTTCGGTCAAGGTTTTTCCCACACCATCATCCTTCGGGCCGACCACTTTTCGGAACATAGACGGGCGAGGGAGATGATTTCTGTCTTACAAGTAGCCTCGATCTGGGCGGAGGTTTGGGCGTTCTGGATTGATTGATTGCTGGTCGTTCTTGTTCCTCTTGCGGCATTCGGGGTATACTTTGCTGACGCGATCATGGCTGCGGTTATGAAGTTGAGGATGGAAGATGGTAATGGGGACTACGTGATCTTGGTGCCGTTGGAGGATCTGGAGTCGGGGACGGTTGTTGGATTTCACGGTTGGAACCTGCCGAGAATCCGGGATTCAATCTGGTGGTGGGCGAAGCTGGCCTCATTGTGCGTCTGCTTTTTGGCGCTAGCTGCGGCCTTTGTCTTCTGGGGCGCTCCTCTCCTCATTAATAAGGTCATATTACCTGACCGACTTGTGGTGTAGATTTTTCTTTTTTTTAATCCGTTGAGTAGACATAGGTTCTGATTTTCTTTTAATTATCAATTGGCTCAAGAAACTGCACAGATAAGATTAGCTTGATGATAGGCGAGGAAATCCTGCACGAAAAATTCAGTGCCGCTTTCACTATTGTGGTTCCTGTGGATTTCGAATTGTGTATATTTTTCCCCTATTTGTCACAAAGTCCCACAGAAGATGCTGAGATCGGGTGGAGTGCACGGAGGAAGTTGCATTGAAATGGAAAACACTAGAGAAAGCCGCCACATGAAAATCTGAAAATGTCATTCCAATCATCAGAAATTAGACTCTTGGAGACTGCACTTTTGACCTCGGGACTTTTCACCTAGTTATCGGTTTGACCCTCCCAAACGACCATCCAACCACCGGTGGGAGCAGAATGCTTTCATCGAAGAGGGACATTTTCATGCTTCATAAGTGTATTGATTCATGGATGCATGGAAGGAAAGAAGAAGACACAGTGACTTAGCCTTACTTTTGGGATGCACTAGATGAAGTGAACTGTAACAGTCTGCTGTTGGCGTTTGATAGAATGGGATCCGATAGCAGGTAATGAGAATCAAAGAGTTAAAATAATCTGTCGGATTACTACTATCGCTGTTTGGACAAAACATGATTCTACCACACTGGCAGAGACCAAAAGATTATTCATATCACTGTCGATACTGCTTTAAGTGGGACAGAGATGAGGTAGAGAAGAAACTCTGATTCAGAATTAGAAAATGGTAAAGGTTATTGGGGTTTAGTAAGACCCCACATATTTTGGGGGGGTTTTCGGTTTCAATCAGGGTATGGTTAATTGGATGGCATCATATTTCAAATAGATCATTGGGTTGTATATAACCTCTTTGGGAAAAATGAGGAGGTTTTTACTATGAGTGTGCATAAGCTCGTAATATCAACCGCATAAAAAGCTTATAACTTGGTGAAACTTTCGGCCATTCTGTTAGAGTAATCGGATCGTCCAAATCAAAACTAAATTGGCTATCATTCAGTAAATTCATCTTTATAGTCGTCAGTTTATTTTTTTACAATAATTAAAATGAGGGTATTTTTGGCCCATCCCTCACATTTAAATCAACTTTTTTGCTCTGTCACAAGGGCAATATGAATAAGCAGCGTTCAGCGCAAGAGCAATGGGTATGATTTGATGTTAAGATTTTATTTTTATATAATCTTCTTAAAACCTTGAAACTGTATTTTTTTTCATCTGAAATTATGACCCCTTCTTTCTCTCAGTCAAGTAACCCACCTCAATAGCGGTTTTGTCTTACCTATAAACTTTGCTTGGTTTTTCTTCAGGTGGTTATCCCAGTTTTGGACTGGGAAAGGACAGCATTTAGCCCACCAATCCTCGGATTGATACTCTTCTCGTCTATTGCAATATTCCCTACTTTGTTGCTGCCATCTTCGCCGAGCATGTGGATTTCGGGGATAACATTTGGTTACGGATATGGTTTCCTTCTTATCATGGCGGGGACGAGCTTGGGCATGTCTTTGCCATTTCTCATTGGCTCACTCTTTCGCCGTAAAATACATGTACGCCTCACGCCTTTTATTGCCTTTCTTCCACTTTTTGAGTCTTGACACTCATGTTCACGTTGTTCTATAACACAGCAATGTCTTGAAAAATGGCCCAAGCAGGCTGCTATCGTGAGGCTTGCTGGTGAAGGAGACTGGTTCCATCAGTTCCAGTCGGTTGCTGTGCTCCGGATTTCTCCATTCCCATATATTATATTTAACTATGCTTCTGTTGCAACAAACGTAAGGTATTGGCCTTACCTACTAGGGTCGCTGGCGGGTATAGTACCTGAAACTTTCATCACAATCTACAGGTTAGAACTCATGTCCCTCCGATCATTTTTATTTTATTGAAGAAAATATGTTGACAGCTCTCCACGCTAGTTCTTCATTAATGTGCAATATGCCCTTGACCTTTGAAAATGACTTCGAACCCAAGTCCACATGGAAAAAAACGTTTCAACATATATCTGTGTATGCATGTATTGTTGATCTGAATTGATGAGTGTATTTAGAAATAAAAGCATGCCAAACAATATATTATTCCTCTCCCTGTCCCAAATTTTTAAATCTCATGTAACATTGTTCAATTTTCTTCATTTTCTGGCTAATGGAGGTATCATATAGCTCGTTCGACTCCTTGCCTTTGACTTCTAAGACACCATTTTTCAGCCGATTCGTTTTTATCATCATTTATGCATTGCTTCCTCAGTTCTTCATGCTCAAATATACGAGTACGAAAAAAGATGAGTCTCTGACTATTTGATCACATAGTAGAATTTTGGCAGATTATCAGCTTAATTTTACCATTTGCTTCTCTAAGTAAAAGTAACGATAAGAAAAACGATAATCAGTGATTGTTTGTTTCTTCTTTGGAAGCCCAAAATAAGTGAAAGACTGACATTACTCTTCTGTGGACATAATCTTTGATCGACCCATTTGTTATGTTCCAATAATGTTATATGTTTGTCCGAATCATACAATCAATGTCCGATTGTTATCCGACAAAGTCTTGAGGATCCATGGACTAGGATGTCATCATCATTTTGGAAAGAAATCAGCTTGGATAGAAGAGCCACTTCGATTCCTGGCGAAGATATCTCGTCTAACCTTCCCACAGTCTTCAGATTGGCTTTTAGCTCTATCTTTTCAGATCGAATGAAAAGATACTTTCAGGAAGAACAGATCCCTGAACTCCACGAGCTTGCTTCTCTTAGCAACAGGACATGGGCATTTGCCAAGAACTTATGGGTGCGAGTGAGACTGTCTACACGAGCATCCTCATGGAATGTCCTCAACCTTTCCTCGGACGAGAAGGTCGTGGCCATTTTTCTATGTCGTCTTCTTGGACTGCCATTAGACAGCCATTGATCTCAACGAAGCTACTGAGCCTTAGATGGCAGCGGAGGGCAACCCACATTGGCCTTTTGAGACCAGCCGCGATTGTAGGGCTAAGATCCGCACCTATATCATATTAGTCTGGGGAACCCTGGTGGTTGCCTGCAAATCTTAGGGCAGAGTTCATCCATGGGAAGGAATGCCGGAGACCCTGGTGGATCCCTGCAACTTGTGACAAATTGAGCTGTTGGAGCTCATCTTACTCAGGTCATTAATATACAACGCAATTTTGATTTTTTATGGTGAATCAAGAAGAAAAAAGTGGCAATAAATAAAAAAAAATGGATATATTTTTATGGCATATTGTCGGCGAAGAGTTCTTGAGCTGGATCCGTGAACATGGTGTGAATTTCCCCGCTTGGTTGATCTCAAATCATCCTCGGAGTAATTTGTGTTGCTGAAAGATCTGTTTTTTCTTGTGTCCGCTCTACAGTGGGATCTTTATTCGGAAGCTGGCGGACGCCTCGTTTGCCCCCGGCTTCCTATCGGGCGACCAGATCCTGTGCGACGCCCTGGGCTTCGGCGGCGCCGTTGCCGCCACCGCCGCCACCACCATCTACGCCAGGAGGACCCTCCGGACTCTTCAGGCTGAGGATGAACCGCAGTAGTAGATGGAGCCCAGCTTGGGACTCATCTCGATGAGAGCCTTTTGACTGCCGCAGAGAAGCTTGAACGATTGCTTCACGGGGGGAGGCCATGCCGGTTGTAGAAGAGAGAAGCAGGGGAAGGTGGAGGACGACCTCCGCCAATCAGGCTGAATCAATTCCCTTTGTAAATACTGTTCCCAGAGATCATCGGAAGCACATTTGCTCCGAAATTAATTAGTTCTGCGTAAATTTGCCGGGCCATGGCTGGGGAGAATCGGAGAGCTTTCTCATGCAGCGTTAATGGATTCGAACCAACCGACCCACGTCCGAGGAAGAAGGGGAGTTGACCACTTACTACTCGCTGGTGGAGCCGGTGGGATTGACCCGCCGATGGAACGGCAGCGGCGGTCAACAGGGTTGTCCGAATCCACCAATCTTCACCACCACCACCACTTCCGGGAGCGGGTGGAAGCCTCGTCTTCTACATATGGGCTTGCCGGGAAGCTCGTTCCCCATGAAGATGGAGGAGGCTTCAGGCGGCGCCGTTCCCGGCCGGCGGGAAAGGCAGCAGATTTCCGTTCCTTTTTGCTGGGAAGACGTGCCAGGTCGGCCCAAGAGAGAATGGCGAGTCAACTCGCCGCCCGCTCTTCTGCCCCCTGCGCGCAGAAACTACAATCCCTTCGTGGATGACGGGGAAGAGGACGACTTTCTCGGGCTCAATGCTGAAGCTCCCTCCTCCTCCAGCGCAGGTGCGACGGGGAAGAGCCCCTCTCTCTCTCTCTCTCTCTCTCTCTCTCTCTCTCTCCACTGACGTCGGGTTCCCGTCGCAGAAAGCTCGGAGACGATTGAGATCGCCAGCGAGGAGAACTCCGGAGATTGGGCGGCCTGGCAGTGGGACTCCGGCGAGGAAGAAGACGTTGGCGGTGGCGGTGGCGGCGCCGAAGATGTTTCCATTCTGGAGTTCCTTTTCCCGCTGTCGAGCCCTGAGGTGAGCTTCCTCCACGAGATGTGCTTCAACGAGGGACTTAACCCCGGCAACGCCGCGTCCAAGAGGCCCCCCACCCTCGGAGAGCTGATCCTGCTGAACCGCCGCCTGAGTTGCTGTGGTAGGCGGAACCCCGCCACCAAAAATCCGGTCTGTTCTCTCTCTCTTCTCTCTCTCTCTAACTCACACACCCACAGAGTAATCCACAAGAGAAATTAAGAAAAATAGAGAATAATATACCTCTAGAAACACCGGATCCTAGTAGGTCAAGGACGAAGCCGGAAATTCCTCGCGCTGACCAAGTTTGACTTTTCCAGGGATGTGAGTCAACACCACCATTCACGAATTAATCAATTCTAAAATGAGTAGGGAAAATAAAATCCGAGTCTTTTTGGAGCTTTCTTTCTCGACAAAGAATAATATGGAAGATTATATACCATAGAATTTACATAAATGGACTCGAAAAAAAGCTACAGATGACACACCCCAAGGACGCATCAGACAGCCAGGGTCTGATGTTCTCGGTCAACGCCAGAAAAGGGAGAGAAATCCTAAAGCCAGAGTGCCTACAGACCACTAAACCTTCCATTATAGGGAAAAGAATATACTGATAATATTTAACAGCCATAGCAGTGGTGGCATTTTTGGCAAATACTAATCACGGTCCAGTCGGCAACATGTTTTACCTTCCACAGAGACGTCGGCGGGGATTCATAAGGAAGAAGGTGCAGCTGTGCGGCCTCTTCGGGACTGGAGTCAACCGCAGGATCACTCAGGATGTGCGCTATGGATGAACGGCAGAGGCGGAGCTGGATGGACGCAGTCCAGCAGCCGGGCTTTGACCGACTGCAAGATCATTTGAGGGTTGAGCCACATTGCAGGTCCAGCATGTACACAATTCTAATGTACTTTGTTTCAAGTGCCCGCCATCCAATGCAGCTGACTATTCCGGTGTGATATCCCACAGATGCTCCTTATTGTTGACCGTGCCGGTGTGAATATATCTGCTCTGGTTGAGAAGGGAGGGGGGTTTCAGTGGTTCTTGCGCTCGCAGGTTGGGAGTGAGTTGACCTTGCAATAGTGTGAGCTATAGACTAAATGATTGCCAGTTCAACGCGGAGATATGTGGCTGTCGAGAACCTTTTTGATCCGCTCCATGACCACAGGGATATCCTTCTCTGTCAACGTGGTGAAACAACAGCGGAACCATCCGGGCTCAATGCAGTGGCATGATGACCCCGGAGTGACGTTGACCTTGGCAACGTTCAGCAGCTTATCCCACAGTTCCAACTCCCCTTTCTCGCTGTATGATCTGATGTACTTACTAAGGTTGGCCCAACAGTAGAAACCCCCACTGCTGATAGCACAGTCAATGCCCAGCTGCTTCAGTCCTTCCACAAATAGGGCGTACATTTTCTGAAGCCTCTGTCTGTTGACGGCCATAAATTCACCAATGAACTTGGAATCTGATAGCATGGACACAAGCATGTGTTGGATGGGGACAGAAACTGAAGAGAATCTAGCTAATCTTGTAGCAACAGATAGAACATTCTCATTGAAGGAGTAGATCACGCCCACTCTGAAGCCCGGGAGAGAAAGATCTTTAGACAGCCCGTATACAATGTGAACCCGGTTCCTGTCAAAATCATCCGTCTCCAAGATATCTGCCATGCTGACGAACTCATGGTTCCCGTAGATAGACCCGGCAAATACCTCATCAGATATCACATGAATATTTTTCTCTCTGGCGAAGTCCAGAAGTCCATAAAGTGTTTCTCGATTCAGCAAATTACCAACCGGGTTGGTGGGATTTGAAATCAGTACTGCTCGAACTTTTGTCCCCCGTTTCTTCGCTTGGCTGTAGGCTCTCTCAAGCGAAGCAATGCTCAGATTAAAGTTATCAGTGCTTCTACAGGGAACGGGTATGAGCTCCACACCACTTCGTGACTTTACATCCCTATCAAATCTGAAAAACGAACAGCTTCTTAGCTCCGCTGACGTATTTATTGGTGATAAGTGATAGAAATTTTCGTCAGAAGGAAGATGAGAAATTCTACCCTGGGTAATATGGTGAAGGGACGAGGAATGCGTTCCCAGCATCTGCCAGACAAAAACTGAGTATTTCAACCGCAGGTGTTGCTCCAGCTGTTAATACCATCTGAGCTGGATTAAAGCAAGCTGATGTTTGCATGACTTGACCCATGAATCCAGCAACAGCCTGAAAAATAACGAGAATGCAGGTAAAATACAAAATAACGAAAGGAAGAACGACACACATTGAAACGAGCATGTACCATTACTTATGCTCAAACTAACCTTGGAACGCCAACATAATAAATAGAAGTAGAACATTATCTGCTACATTTGGAAGTCTACATTCACGAAGTACAAATCCAGTACTATAAACACTATGCATAAATCCTGCAGGAGTAGGACCACAACTGACAAAATGATTTGTGTCGCAAATCCATGGCAAGAACAATTGTGGTTCCAGAGTATAAATGGAATTGAGAATCCATGAGGATTTGTGAATTTTTGGGTCAAAATGATTATGCCTGAGTGAAATTTCCCAAGAAAATATGATATTTTTAAATTATAATTTAAACAACGAAATCGAGTAATTAAGGAAGACCAACAGAAACTTCACATTATAAGCATGTCGCAGTGAACAAACTTCTAAGAAAGTATTCATGAAAACAAACGAACAAAACCTTTTTCTACTATAAGTTGAGACATGTTTAAAAAAAATTCCAGCTTAGTTTCCAGCCAAGTCTATTTAAGGGAAGTTTTTCCTTTCAGCAGTTAGAATTTACGCTGCCAACATTGAAGACGTATAAATGCTTCAATGTATCTGCCAATTTCTTTGAAGATATGCAACTCTTTATACGTAATTATTATCTGATTCTATGGACTTACGGCATCAGTTCTAAGTCAACCAATAGGAAAAGCAAAAAATAGGAAAAATAATCTCAGCTTGAAGTTTTGCGCTTCTCAACTGAGAAAGGAGAAAACAAAGGCAACTTTACAAGAAAAAAAATAATCAACCAACGAACTTAGTAAACGTAACACCCAATTTAAAACTTCGTCAAAGTATCTACGTTCATAGACCTTATAAAAATATATGATTATAAGTATATAGTTATCAGACTGTCGGTATTACGAAAAGTCACGGTAAGAGGTCATCCTATTTTGAACCGGATGATTTTCCTTATAACAAAAAATGCAAATTAATACAGACGCCATCGTCTGCTTAAGTAACCCCGATTGCAAATTTTGTTCTCCGTCAATGTATAGAGGGGAAGAATGTCCCAGACCAAGTGATATTTGCAAGACATGCAGATGACGAAGCCTACATTCTAGTTTGACGTCAGAGAAAAAATATTTTAGAAAACGAATATTGTGAAATAAATGAAAAAAAATGAATAAAATCAGCGAATAATACAATAGTAAGTATTCAACTGTAGAAAAGGAAAGGACAGATTTCAGCTTACACTCTTCAAATCCATGAGTCCATCGAACGGCTGATATGTCGCCAGTCCATTGATGTCGAAAGGAGCATGATTGTCATCCAGCAGTGAATCCCTTAAATGACAAGCCAGCCATTCACCAACCAGATCCAGTGACAGCTGCTCTAAAACGAATAATGTCGTAAGTCTCCAGACGCCAACATGAGTCGGAGTTCATCAACGTAGATATACAAACAGAGCGGATACAATGGAGGGTGTCACAAATGGAAAGCGAGCATAAATTACCTTGTTCTCGGCCAAACCAAGCTGAATGAAACCGTCAGGGTTGGAGACGGGATCGTATGGGTCCTCCGAAGACCTTCTCAGGCCGGCGTAATAAGCGGATTCACCGGACCTGAGAATGGAGGAGGCTCGAGACGAGACCTGAGCGGGAGAAGATGAAGCTCTCGGAGAAAGCAACGTCCGGGACAGCGACCTAGGGATGCCAGTGGCGAGCTCCGGAAGGTCGCCAGATGACGTGGAAGGGGATGGCCCAGATGGAGGAGACGCAGGAGGCGGGGAAGAAGGGGACGAGCGGTTCCGCTTGAGGTACAACTGCAGGAAATAAAACAGAGCGCAGGGGATGACAGAACCAAGGACGAGACCGCCACGTCCCTGGACCACTCCTTGCAGGGGGACGATAATCCTCATAGCCGTGCCTTCGCCACCGCCGCCGGCGACTGATCTGGACGGGATGGTAGCGGAGGCCGCGTCGTCCTCGCCGTCTCTATCCTTCAACCGCGTCAGTCTCATCCGGGGAGCGACCGAAGCAGCTCCGCCCGCAGATCCCCCCACTGGACACCGATTCCCTAATCTTCCCCCTCCTCGCGTCGCCCTCCCATTCCCTCTCTCCCCCTGGTGCTTCTCCCCCCCTGGAGAATGGGACCGAGGAAGACGGAGAGAGAGAGAAAGAGAGAGAGAGAGAGAAAGAGAGAGAGAACCAGGGGAGAGGAGAGGGAAGCTGTTCGACGGTAGCTCTGCGCCGCTGCTTATGGTCGGAGAGGGATCGGTTTTGTCGTCCTCCCCGGATTTTTTTTCCATGTCATTTATTTATATTATTTTATCGGAGGAGAGGGGCTTGATAGGTGATCGCTCAATCACTGGCAGCCCCCATCAGTGATCTGTAATTTCACATAAAACCCCCCAGCGTTCCGAGGAAAGCGCCCTCTAACCCACAAGACGTTAAAAACAAACTGACCACAGGACACCTGGCAGCCTCTCCCGTAATACCAGCGTAAGAGCGGAAACACGCGTCACGAACCGCCCGATCGGAAATGAACGTCGATCGATCCCGCCCATCCCGACGCGTTTGAAAAAAAACCGCCACGCGCCAAAAATGAAATACCGGAAAAAGACCGACGGCGCTTCGCACGTCCACGTCCGAGGGGTATTCTCGTCATTCCACGCCCCCTCCAATAGGAAGCTTCCTGGGCGAATATTTTCCCAGAAATTTCCCCAATAATCTTCCTCATTTTATTTTATTTCATAATTTATTTCCATCCAAGAGCCCGGCGTGGATGAGACTGGGGCTGGCTGATCTACGGAGTCAACGGATAGGATGAGGATCGAACGAGAGCCATAGACGAGGATTGGGGATGATCGGAGCTGGTTTATAATAATTCCCGCGGATAAGCCGGAAAATATTATACGAATGGTGGGATTGAAAGGGCCGAGAAAGAAATCAGGCTCCCGAATTGTATGCTGTAGAATACATTTAATCGATGCCGTCGCTGTTTCTTCCCTTTACGGCGACTGCTCTGGCCTTGTTCGGCGCACAAGTGAACCGTGCACGGTGGCGACTCCGGCAGGTCTGCCCGCCGGAGGTGACGGCGGCCAGTTGGGAATATTCAACGAATCGGAGCGGATCAATGGCAGGAGAGATGCGGAGCTCGTGGTGGTGGTGGGGGATAGGGGGCGGCGCTGGGTCAGATGAGGTTCCAGCGAACGTGAGGCCGCCGTGCGTGGATCGGAGATATGTCTGGTCTGAAGGGCCCAAAAAGGCGCGGACCTCAAGCCAGGAGGAACATCGTCCAACTCTCTCTGTCTTTTTCTCTCTCTATAAACCACTTGTATACGAGGATCAATGTAATCTACTGGTGTATAAAACTAGGTTTGAGATTAATCAGACGACAAAATAATAACATAAAGATGATTTTCAATGGTGTCAGGAAACAAAATAGCATCAGGGGTAGTTCGGCAAGTGAATAGATAGACAATAAGCTTGGATCGAATATGTTGACTTTTTGGGGTGTGATATAATTAGAGAGACTTTAATAATCATTAGTATGGCTTTGAAGCAATGCAAAACATTTGCAGTTCAATAGATTAGTGCCACGTTTCATTTTAAGTAATATGTTTAATATTTTTGTGAAAAAAGTAGATGTTACATATACTTTACCAATATCTTTATCACGTCACGTCACTTCGAAAGAATTTGATACTTTGACTTGAAAAGCCACGTTATGAGAGATTTCCTGATTTATACTTTTGAGAAATTATTTTTACATTGGATATAATATACTTTTCCCATACCATAATTTTGATGGATTATTTAGTTTTTTTCTGACAATAATTATCTTATTATTTAAATAAAAAAAACAATTATCCCTTAGATAATTTTCATCGCTATTGAACTTGACAATAATGAGATATAGTTCATAAACCATGACTATTAACGTAGCAAGACTTATGATTCAATAATGAAACGAAAGATTTGTGAAATAATGTTAACTACCCACATATTAGCCACATGGTGTTGTAAGCATATTCACGTTCCAATGGCAATGACCAAAGTAAAGTACCAGGTCACTACGTGCATTGACCAAAGTGAAGTACCAGAGTCACGAACCCATTGCGTCTATCGATTAGGTCAACACGTCGTTCCCTCGCAAAGGGAATGATAGTCGTTATTTTCTATACATGCAACATTTCATCAGAAGCTATTAATACGGAAACTATATTAAAAAATTAATTTTGGTGGTCAAAAGGGCGTGGATAGGATGGATAAGCTGTTATCCAAGAATGGGCCAGATCCGGGCCTCAAAAAGTCAACCAGGTACCCCTGGCCCGGCCCGTTGATGCCCATCCCAAACATATAAAAATAGTTTATTTATTTTATTTTTTACGTTAGATGCCTACGGTAAGGCGGGCGGGTCCCAAATATGGATTCCACTGCACACCACGCAGGAGATCTCTGATGGGGGAGGAGGACCCCGCTAGGGCTCCGTCCCCCCCTCACCGTCCGTATTGTAGATGAGGACGGACGGTGGAAGGGCTCCCTGCTCCGGGGGGCACGGCACGTGGGGGCGCTTCCTCGGCCGCTGCTGCCAAGGCCGGCACCGGCGCCGCAGAGCCTTCCCTCCGCGTGCTGGCACGTACGCACGGCGAGGGCCGGAACAGCGGGCAGTGGGGAGGAAGAGTCCTTCCTGAACCTTTGGCTCCGTATCTCTGGGCGTTTACGAGGAGGTGACGACAAGCAGGGGGGCCCCTAGTGGCCGGCTGCGGCAGTGGCTCCGCGGGGTGGAGTAACTCCGGCCTAGGATTCTCTTCTCGTCGGTCGGCGCACTGCAGTGTGCGCCTCCTTCTCCGCTGGCTTCCCTCGGTCCTGCTCCCCGTCTGCAGGAATGGGGCTGCCATAAAATCTCCCGGCGACCACCATTGAAGGCTCCCTCACCCTCACGGGACTCCCACTGTGCGGTAAATTTGGCAGGGGACTGTACGGGTTTTCTGAGTGTTACGTTTCTGCCCCGGAGCAGGGACTTCGTCTCTCTCTCTCTCACTTCATTCTCTCTCTTTTGTCAGTTGGAAACCTTTCCCTTGATGTAAAGATTGGAATTTTTCTTGGGAGGGGGTAAGCTAATTTGACCGCCGACCGGAGGAGGGGACATTAGGGACTTCCAGGGGCGGCGGGGGAGGGATTTTACGTGGCCGGAGAGGAGGTCCGTGACGGGGGGAAGAAGACGAAGTGGGCACACCGGGAGGTGAACTTCCGTTCAAATTTGAACCTTGGGCAGGAGCGCCGAGCGTCGGGGTGGCCTGGTCCGTCTGTGGCGCTAAACGGGCGAAGGCGGGCGGCGGCCGTCTCCGCCTCTAATGGAAACTCAGCGCCGCCGAGGCCGAGGCTGAGGGAGGTGCGGATAGGATGGGTATTTCGCACCGTTGGAGGACCGCTCGGTGACTGCTGCTATGAGAGGTCCCCATTTTCGCATCCCTCGTCGGATGGAAAGTGCGCAAATTTCGGACAGCGGAGGGATGTTGCTTCTCTATTCCTCCTTCATGTCGAGAATACCCCTACGAGGTAGAGGAAATGGCGGGCCTTGGTGATGGAGGCGGACCGAGGAATACGGGACATAGTCGTCTTTCCGTCTCCTCTCCCGTTATTGGGACCCTGCATTCAAATTCCCACTGCCTGCAGCAGCCGCCTGTTTGCTCTGGGCTCCTCTGCAAATCCCCCAAGCCGCGAGAAAATCTCCCTCTCTCTCTCCCTCAACCCTTCCTCCCGCCGTCCCTCTCGCTCGCTCGCTCGCTCGCTCGCTCTGCGTTTGCCTCGATTCTGCTCTCTTTTAGAAGGCGGACATTTGGGTGAGCCGAATATAGTATCTCTTCTACGAGGTGAGGGTAAACACGGGCTCCCAGAGCTTGTCTAATCGGTTTGGGTGGTCGGCGTTTGGCCTTCGCCCATTGCCTCCTCTGCTCAATGGCGGAGATGGACGAGGAGATGGAGGACGCCCATGTTCGAGGGGATGACGACGACGGAGTCGGAGCGGTGGATTTCCTTAACCTGGAGGTGGATTTCGAGTACGAGTTCGAAGCGTCAAGGTACTTCGATTTCTGCAGACCGGAATCGCCGTCAGAGTCCCGGGAAGCTGAGCTTTGGTTCGAGTCCGCCAGCAGCTACCCGCCGTCCCGTACGTCGTTCTAATCCTCACCCTCTCCATACCGTAATCGATGCCCAAATCTGACTCAATGGTTTCCAAGTGGGAAATCTTTTCTCCTATACTGCCGTGCACTCGTGTGTTGATCATCGTTCGCCTCCTTCTCTCTCTCTCTCTCTCTGTCTCTCTCTCTCTCTCTCCTACACTTTCTCCGTCGCCTTCTATATGCATGTGAGAATGCAACCTGCATTTCGGTTTCCGGAATCGACTCTGAAGGTTAATTTTCGGTACTTCGGTGATTGAAACTATTTACGTGCATATCTCTCCTCTTTATGCATTATAGAAATGCCGAGGATTGCTTAAACAGCTCTGATTTCCTGTCAGCTCATTTCTGTTTTCCTGCGAGGCTCGTCTTAAATCACCGCGTTGTCATATTACTTCTGATTGCGGTTCTGATTACTCAGTCATGTAGTTCCTTGACATTCTTCCTAATGATGCAACGTCTGACTTTTGGCGCTAAAGATATCCTGTAAGATTTAGGTCCTCATTCTTGTGTTTCTTTATGAGAAGATTCCATTCGGTGAAGGTTCGTCGTTCTACAGTTGTTATGCCCAGTCATTTTTAATATGTATGACCATAAGATGGCCGTTTTAGGAGTTCATGTAATACGCATGTTGTGGAATATTCGGACAAATCACTGAGAGATCCTACCTAGCTTTATATTTCTGTGAATTAATATATCTACTGTAAATCCGCTGTTTTCATGAGACGGCGCAGAGATGAACTCTCAAGGCCCGGTTTTCTGTTATCTCTGTGACCCTCATTTCTGTCATCTTTTTAGCAGAGATAAAAAATATTCTAGATCACTTAGAGCCTCGCAGTGATGACCTTTGTAGCGTTTTTTCAATTTTTAAAATAATTTTAATAGTCTGACTTCCCTAACATGCTGGTTGATAAAATTAACGTATAAACCTTGATCAATCAGTCGAGTGATGAGAAAGGGATCTTCATACTGTATTCATTGTGAAAATGATAAATAGTTCTTCATCTTCTGGAGCCCGAGTTATTCCACAGTTAGAGTTTCTGGTATCTAAAATCTAGTCTAATCACAAAAACGACTTCATTTTATCTCGCTTTTTTCGTTGAAGCCTAGAGGCGTGTATTTAAAGGTATTTAAACTCTTTTGTTTACTTGAATAATTTAAAAAAGCTGAATCTTGAGATATCACTGTCACTGGGACTAGGATTTTCATCTCTCTCTCAAAATAGATTTCTTCTTATGAAATTAGCTAAGGCCACTATCACTAGTTCTTTTGTGATTGTGCTCAGTAAAATGTTGGACGTTTATGTCATCTTCTTGTGAAAGAAACACCGAGTACTGACTTCGGGCCTTTTTATTTTTTTGATTTAACCTTATGTTACTTGAGAATTAATTGAATGAGATGGAAATTATGCTGAATTTAATAAGTTTTTGATCACTCTTTTTTTCATGAGTGACGTAAAACGACTACTAATCCCATTTCAATATCCTTTTCAGCATTTATAGCAAAGATAGACCTTGGAACAGATATTTTTGGGGAAAATGTAGATATTCCTTCAGAGTTTAACAATGTGGTGAGTACCTACGGTGTTACATACTCGGATGATGGATCATGCATAGAGCTTCACACAACGGAAGAAACTGAAGGAGGTAAACATAGGAGAAAGAAAGTCTCGATGGTATCTCATTATTTTATCTAGAATATAGTTTTTCATAAATTTAAAAATTTTCAATTCATATTTTTTCATCATTCATATAAAGAAAATTTCTTTTCGATTTTATCGATCAAAATTGTTTTAAAATTGTTGATGATTTTTTGGATAATTGATTCGTGTTATGTACTGGGGCTAGGGTCAATTTATGGATACATTTCCTGTTGTAAATTCCTGAATTCGCAGAATATCATTTCTTGATTTCTGTGACACTTTTATTAAATTGGCAAGTCATTCTTATTGCTGAATCTTTTATAAGAAAATAATAACTTGTTTTCTGATTTTCTTGTAGGTACCGTTCTTGAACCTGAAGCGTCCAATTATTTTCCGAAGGTTGATGTAAAGTTTGCCATAAAATTGCCAGTTGCAACCAGATCGACTTTGATGAAACCCACCGCAAGTCATTTGGCAAAGCAGAACGATCCTAGAGATATTAAAACCACTAGTCGGATTTTGCATCGGTAATTGCTATTTTGTATATTTCTTTTTCCGATGGTTGTTTTCCTTCGCTGAATTTACTTAGACAATCTTCAGTTGGAGTCTTATGAGGAGTTTTTCCCATATCCATATCATGGCAATGACCATTATTTGTTTACTTTTTATCACCACTTAACTTTATTCTCTTTGCATGTCTTATAATGGTTCACACCTGTTTTCAGGTTTCATAAATCATCCACTCAGAACAGTGAGAAGAGCTGTACGGATGCATCTGATCGTACAGACCAGGCGTACAAGAGGCAGAAGCTGGAGGGAGGTCATTCAAGAAAGGTTTTTTTTTGAAGCTTTAATTTCGTTTCCTTCTATGATAGTGCTAACGCCTTTATTATTATTTCCACTGAGTTGTATTGTTGTTCGTGGTGTTTCTATTATTGAGAATGGTTGGTTTATATTATATTTTTTTTGTGCTGCTTTAATCTTGTGATCCAAAGTTGGGTCATAATAGTCCGATTATTGATTTAAGGGTAATTCTTACATCGAAATGAGAATGCCTAGAGTTAACAACCAGTGTATTACTATGATTATAACATGTATTTCCCTTCCCTTTTTGTAGTTTCTTTCTGGTTGAACTGACTCGATGCATTTGATGTTTTAGCATGCCAGATTTTAAATCAGAAGAATCTAAAAAATGGATCTTTATCAACATCGCTGCTGCAGTACCATTGAAAGTTTTTTGCTTTCCTTATAATGCGCTCATTTCCTTTGGTTCAAGTTTGTTTTATTACATCCTTGAATACAGTATTAGATTTTCTCGGTGAAGTTGCCTTCACTTCCTGGACAGTCTTTATCCCCTATTTTTTTAACCTCGTTTAGATAAGGCTAGTGGAAATAAATGTGAGTAGGTTTCCAGCACAATGATGAAAGAACGTTTAATATGTTAGTTGGTATATGCTTGTATCACTTAACGCAAATTGTTTTCTGGGTCTTGGAGCCGGGAGGCTTTATACACAGGAGTGCAAATTATAAATGAGGCTGGTCCATGCTGAAAGATGCGGACAATCTTGTACAACTAGGCTTGATACCTAGAACAAAGGAAATGCCGTGGCTTTGGATGGTTGTTTTCCGTGTTTGTTTGGATCCTTACATATGTGTTCCTCTATTGTGCTTTAGTTCTTGTTGCTTTTGGTAATTCGTTAATTCCTCTTCACAAATATTTTGAAAATATTATTGACAACATTCTCATACAGTGTCAGGTGACTTTTCCTTCACCTTTTGCTCTTTTTGAAACCAGGTACATGATTTGAAGCAACAGACGCAGCTGGTACATAAGATTCCTCAAAAGGTGATATCCCTGTCTTAGGAATGCAAACAATCCAATGGTCATAGTCGCGATTTCTTTCACATTTCCGGGCATAGAAATGTTATTCAAGTTTCCATGGATTCTTGTTGATTCATGGTCCAATGTTACCTATTTTCTTGATTAATCTCCTTTCCCTCTAGTTTTTGTAGTTCTTTCTTTCTATACCGGAATTGGGTCCTCAATAAACTGCTAGATAGTTCTGAATTTTCTTGGCGAGGCGCCTTTTGTGCCGTATGTAACTATATTTGACTGATTTTTTTGTTTATGACTCAGAAGGAGCATAGTGATGGCAATCCTGGATTGCGTAGGTTGAAGATCACCATTCCAAAGGAGCCTGACCTCGGAACAGCTCGAAGAGCACAACGGCCAAGGTATTACTTTACCCCATGGGAATAAATCTTCTGGAACGCTGTGAGGGAAAAAAAATGTGAAAAAGTTGTCTTTATACATTTTTTCCCTGCTTGTTAGGCCTGGTAGGAGTAGAGAGGTGGAGTTGCAGGATGCTTCGACAATTACAATGTTTAGGGCGCGACCACTAAACAGAAAGGTTGGTGTAACCATTTAGGCCTTAAGGAGTATTGCTTAGAGCATGTTTCAATCTATTTTTTATGTAGATTCTTGAAGCTCCATCGTTGCCATTACACCAGAAGAGCACACCACGTTTGCCAGAGTTTCAAGTATGCTCTTTTATGCGAATGATACTGTGTATCATTTGGTTATACATATACTATACTCTGGTTGTGTTGACTGTTGGCTGAGATTGACGTGTAGGAATTTCATTTGAAGACATCTGAGAGGGCTATGCAGCATGCATCTGCGTCATCATCGTTTCAGGTGAATTATGAACACTCATCTTGTTTTAATTATGGATATTCACGATTGTTGTCTCGAAAACCTCAACTGGTTTCATTCGTTTGTTTTTTATTAATATTTGAATCTAATAACGTAATAATTATTGCAGGTTAGAAATAATATGCCCAGGTCTCATTCACAGACCGTTGCTACAAGGAACAGGCTACAACCACATTCTTCTGTCTCTCTCTACCCTCATATGTAAGTTGGAGACGTTGTAGAGAATTTATGCGCAATATTTTTTTCATGCATTAAGAATTTATCAATTTTCTGTGGTCTAGTCGATGGTTTTAACATTTCTCCCCGCTTAATAAGTATTGTCAATGTAGAAAAAGTGCCTGCGTGGATTCTCTCTGGAACTTCCCAATTCCAATGTGTACTCATTGTCATAGATGGAGCCAATGGTTTGATGGCTATGTGCTCCGTGTTGACGCAATAGCTAAATCCAAACAATCTGTCTGTTTTTTCTTTTTTCTTCCAGAATCTCTCATAGAGTATCATCCGTTGTTCTTGACCAGGGTGAATAATATAAGTCCTCTATGCCATAAATGGATCAAAACAGCAGCCATTTGTCATATAAAAACAATTTAACGCAACATTATGTGCATCTGTTCTTTTAGGATCATTCTGTTTTGCGTATAATGTTTCACGTCCCTCTTGTTTTTAACGGCGTGGAAGGTTGTGTTTCTCAGGCATACTCACCAATATTGAGAGCGTTCTCTCAAATAACTCAAAAAAAACTTGTGTGAAAGTAGACAATGCTTGTAGTTTTTTCTGCTGATCATGCGTTCAATAATGCCACTAGCTCAGTTTATAGGGTAGTCCGTAGTTTTTGAGGAGCCGGTTATTTATAGTATTAATCTTTATAAGACCTAATAATAAGTTCATGTGTACAGTGAAGGTGCTCTATGAGAATTGTCTCCTCTGGACCAAGTAAACGCTGACTGTGTTAATTGGCATGATGGCTGAAGAATTCTTGTTGGACATGAGCATATTATTTCAAATTCCAGCTTAGTTTTTGTCCTGTTCCTTGAAAAACCAATGCGTAGCTTGAGCATATGTCAATATATTTCAATTTAGTTCTTTCTGTAGGTTGCATCCTAATGATGAACAGCGTCAAGAAGAATGTAAGAAAGAGTTGCTCAAGTTTGAGGCACGATCTCTTAATAAAAAGGTGAAACTATCATGCCTGCTCATGAATCTGCTATTGATGTGGATAATTTAGGCAATCACTACTCATCTGTCATTACTGTGATCAAATACAGATACTGTCCTCCAAAGGAGACGCGTGTGTATTTCGTAGCAAGAAGAGGGAAACAACGAAACCTTCGGTGATCTTGTTCTTCCGATGCCATTAAATGCACTTCTTGTGCTAAATCTGTATTCATTTTTCTTTTTAATTCTCAATGGAAAGTATATGATTTTCTTTAAAATTCATTGTAGGAATTCAATTTCAAAACAGAGAAAAGATGCCATCAAGGTCTGCCCATAGATCTTTTTAATAAGGTACGGCCTTGATTTATGTTGTTAGAATAGCTCCGCATTAATGGGAGGGAGTAAGCTTGTGGGAAGTCAAAAATATGTTGATGGGCCTATTCTGCTCATTGGTTTGGCATTATGATCTGATTCTTTGACACATATTATTTTGCCCTTGATGATGAAACTTTCGGTTTGACATTCGGGAAGTCAAAACTTAATTCCTTGTGTCTATTATATCGTTGCCTCTTTATTTTTAGCTTTCATTGATCTCCGAAGACCAGCAGAATTCGATGCCGGATTTGAAAAATTCTCATCCCACTCATGTGAGGTCTCTAACTTTTTCCATTTGTTCCACAACTAATGCTCTACGTCATGAATGCATCTTTTCTGATGATATCCTAAATTCTTTCTACTTTCAATGCCAGGGCTCAAAAGAGAACATTGATAAAGTCAGACGACAAGATCATGAGGTAAAAATGAGTGTGCTGAAAGTATTAAAGGCAATTTTTCTAGTTGGAGTTCTATATTTTCTGGGTATTTATTGTTTCTAGTGGAAAAACTCTGCTTTCTGGCCATCCATTTTTTGTAGGCTCTCCCTACGGGCGAGATAGGACAGAAAATCAGTGGGAGGTGGCGACTCCAGAGTGAGCGGGATCTGGTGACCTCCTCATTCAGGTCTCGACCTTATCTGTGCAGGTAAGCCTCGTTAAAGTAGAAGGGGTTGACCACCCCAAATGTTTCAAACTGTTCATTCTTGGCCTTGTTTTCAGAATTTCTTCTGAAATGTCAAACAAAACTTCTGATGAGATATGTTTTGCAACATGGTTTTTGCCCCCAACTTCTTTTTGCTCGTGGAAACATGATGATGAGCTGAAGCAGCTGCATAAATATTATCCTTGCCAAGTGGATGATTGGGATGAATATTCTGTCAACTAGTCCTCTTAACTGTGTCTTGCTGGATAAACGTGTATTCAGCATGGTAAATCTAGTGAGTTATGAATCATAATAAGTAAACCCATTGCATTTATTTTATATGATGTTATGTTGATGTTGTTTGCCCTCAATAGGCAGTCCTTTCTTTGGTAAATCTCTGAGTCGTTGTAGTCTTTTAGCATGATTGCAAGCAGCAGCCAGTATCAGGTGAAGGAAAACGTCAGAGTGATCACACCGTATGATTCTGGTAGTTCTAATCCGATTCATTATTTACTAGATAATCACATATACTGATTGTGGGCAGTAGCATCCCTTATGGCTCTTCCCTCTTTGAGAGATGGATGAGACTCTTGTGGGTTGTAATCCCAGAGAGAATCGTGCCTCCTGGGTTGCGACGGCATCTCCTTGAGATCTGAGAACAATTCGTTTTTCTTTTTTTCTTTTTTAAGTACCCGGTTGACTTTTGAGCGCTAGGGAAACCCAAACGCTAGTCTCTTTCCCCTCTGGGAGATTCCTTAATGACGTCGTTGTTTACTTTACTCGCAGGAATACCGGGATTCGTTGACCAATAAAGTCAACATATTATTTTTCCGAGTCTTGGCGACTGTTGCCCGGGCCTGGGCAGCTCGGCTGTCTGATTCTTGCGGATGTGAAGTCCAATCTTGGGGGGGAATGCGGAAGCAGGGGGGACGAGAGGGGGGGGGGGGATGAGGATGAGCCTCTGGAAGAAGAGCCCCTGCCTGGCCTTTTTTTTTTGGGTGCGGATCAGATGAGCTTTCGGAGGCGTGGTTGTACAGGTACTTGGAAGCTCGGTGTAGAGAAGCTCCCCCTCCCCCCTCACCCTTGTTTCAAGTACGGTGATGGTCATAATCATAATATGATTCCACATTTTCTGTCTTCCAGCCAGCGCCTGTTTTAGAGAGAGAGAGAGAGAGAGAGAGAGAGAGAGGGTTGTTCCAGTGGGCAGGACAATAAAAGGGGCACCTGAAATAGAAGTCTGGTTAAAGAGTATCGCGTTAAAAGTAGGATCTCCGGCGACACAAAGCCCTACCGCCGCCACCGCCGCCGTGGAAGGTGCGCGAATCTGCCCACTGCCCCGTTGACCCCAACACTAGAAGAAAAATACAAAGAAAATAGAGCGAGGGATTTACAGGAAAATGAGAACACAAGCACATATTCACAATTGAGGGCAGGTCTCTGAGTTCTTCTCTCCGGCCGCGGGCCCCCGTCACAAGACTTTAAGCTGCGCGAGGAACGCTGCGCAGAGGTCCAGGAACAGCAGCTGCGGCCCTTGCACCCTCTGCAGGTCCAGGAGGTACTTATCCTCCCTCGTCTTGTACAGCTGCCACATAATCCACAACCCACCACAGAATCATCAGAACATAAGAACTCTTGATGCAAACTCAGATGCCCAGATGAGGGGGGGGGGGGTAAGGAAGACCTGCACTTCGAACTTGACGGTGTTGGGCGGCGCCGCTGCGGAGTTTTCTTCATTGATGATCGGAGAGTCATCCCCGAAGCTGAGGTTGGGGTTCACGCGGCTGCCGATGAGGCCCACGGGGTGATTGGGGAAGCCCGGGAGCCACCGGCACTTGACGTTGTAGTGCCCGATCTTCTTCCAGTCCACGTTCAGTTCTTGCAGGGCCTTGAGCACGGCCGTCATTATCTCCCGAGGATGGGCACGAGACTGCACAGCCAGTTAATGGCGATGATGCTCTCAGGTTCTAGGACCTCAGAATGCTCTGCTTGAGGCATAGAACGTAAGGAACTGACCTGAAGCCCAAGGGCCCACTTCCTTTCCATGGGGAAATGTGGTCGGAGTCCAGCCCCTTGATAATCGATGTAGGGCAGACGATGGGTGACCGCTGAGGCCGCAGGTGAGTGCAAACCCGAGAAGCCACATTCCTAGATAAAAAGCAGAGGTTTCATCTCACAGGTAAACAGAGAGGAAGCAGAGTACCCAGCCTGGGGTACCCACAGAGGCAATACCTACCATTGACTCCTGGAATTCAACACCAAGGTAGCCGTTGGAAGCTCGTAGTCGGTTGTCCAGCAGGAGATAGTACGCAACAGTAGCCTGGTTCATAGTGAAGATGCTCGAGTCAGCATCATAAGAAGAATGCATGCTAATGGAGGAAACTGGTGTTGATGTCTTCGATACCTCATTCTGTATCCTGTTGCGAAGAGCCTCTACCAGATGATTCCTGTCGAAACCCATTTTAACCACTTCCAGAAGAATTTCCTCATCGATCTGCAATAACACAGCGGCAGGAACCCATTTAGCAGGATGAGAAATCGAAGTGCCAAATCCGGAGATTATGGTTATTAAGTGAGTTTAATGTTGAAATAATCCATACACTAATCACGCCAGAGACGATGGCTGACAATCATCTGGGCTAAGAGATTAAAAGGAAAACAGGAGAAAAGGAACAGTCTTTCCAATTGCGTTTCTAGCTTCTAATATAGTGAAAGTGATCTCCAAATGGCGGATGAGCATACCTTCTTTGCTTGCTGAGCAGAGTCTGGGGGAGGTACGGCCAAGTATCGAGGGAGATGAGCTTGAAACCATGGATGCTGGCGAATTTCGGGGATAGTCATCCGCTTCATTGGGTCGACAACAAGCATTCTAGGAATCAAATCCCTTGCCCCTGCTGTCAAGTGGCTCGGAAGTGTATATATCCCACTCTGCAAACGGGACAGAAAAAGCAGGCACTTTCTTCAGCATGTGAGTCGAAAGAATGCTCTACCCAACGAAGAAAATTACTTAAAAAATCTTGTTTACTCTCATAGGCGCCTGGTTATCCGTACCTTAATTTTCTTGAACAGATTGGGGATGTTCTCATCGTCAAAGGGTAGTGTGCCACAAAGAAGCGCATACAATATCACACCGCAGCTCCATACATCGACTTCAGGGCCGGCATACAGTTTACCAGAGATCACCTGTACAAAAGCTAAGTTTAACAGAGGCAATCTCTCAAAGAATCAAAGCTTGCAAGAGTCAGGTGCTATAAAGATCAGACACAGCAGGAGTTTTTCAGTGCTGAATCTCCATACCTCAGGAGCAGCATAATTAGGGCTCCCACAGCTTGTCTTCAGAAAATGGCCATCCCTCATCACGTTGCTAAGCCCAAAATCAGCAATCTTAACATTTTTTTTTGAATCCAGCAGCAAATTCTCGGGCTTAAGATCTCTGTGAACCACCATATTTCTGTGGCAATACTCAACCCCAGATATTATCTGTAAACAAAAAAAAAGATAAAATATTTGAACTGTATACTAAATTTCTCAGCCATTCCCGCAGAATATTAAAATATTTTCTTCAACTGGAAACATAGCAAACGTGTGGAAAAATATCAATCAGGCAGGCAGTGATCTGAACACACTTTAGTTACACGTAGGGTAAACCCCAATCCTTACATGATAATACATACGAGAGATATTATAGCGGGCCAGCATTGTTTGAGCCGCATAATGGCAATATTTGATACATTTAAATTTCACTTTTAACACGCTCTTTGCCTGTCACTCAACATGTGTCTGCTTCTTTGTTATCTCACTTATCAAATACACATTTGCAATCTTGTCTGTGTAATAAACAGGAAAATCAAATGTAGATAATGAACCACAGGCTACATACATCCCTAAACGCTCAATTAATTAAAACTTAGTCAGATCCTATGCTTGAAAAATAGGTATAGATTTCTCGAAACATAAAAGTAAGTGGTAAAATAGAGGTTCATCTAAGCAGGGCTCTTCTTTTCAATTTAAAAAACGATCTTCCATTGGACGGGATAACAGAACTAGGACGTTGAAAGAAAATGAAAGTGAATCCAATGAAAGAAAAAAGGACAATAGAAAATCTTTTCTCTTTTAGTACAAATCATTTCCTTCAAGGCATGATCAAGTAAAGAGAACAGAAATCAGCAGAAAATGTAAAATGAGGCATCATCTACCTGTTGAAAAAAGTGGCGAGCCTCATCTTCTTGTAATCTACCCTTCTCTACTATGTAATCAAAAAGCTCCCCAAACTTCACATACTCCATTACAACGTAGATATCTGTATGTGTCTCTATAACCTCATAAAGGCGTATAATATGAGGATGCATGAACAGTCGCAGTATTTTTATTTCGCGTCTAACTGCAAAAAAGAAAAAGAAAAAAAAAAGACAGGAACTCATTAAACAACTTCAATCAAATAGCTCATCTTTTCTAAATTTCTTACCAAACTGATTTCATAAACACAAATGAAATTGAAAAGCAAAAATGACGAAATTATCGCCTGTTTCAGACACAGAAACTTCTTAAAGAGGAACGACACCGAATTATGCCATATTACTTCGCCAATGTACTGCACAATGTCGTGAAAAATATTGTGGTATCACACTTCTGCCACATCCCTTTTGGGAAGAGCCAAGCCAACCACCCCTCTAACTGGAAAAGTGTGGCAAGTCATCCTGTTGAAAATGGGTGATGCGGACAGCAATTTGTGCTCTATAGTTTTAATATCATTGGAAACGGATCAGAATGCAAAGATAGCTTATGCAGTTCTCAACTTTACTGATGACAATGAACCATAGTTAATGTTCTATAACTTTAATATCATCGGAAACTGATCAGAACACAAAAATAGACTATGCACTTAAAATGCATCATTTACCTTTTTCTTCCATTTCCAAGTTCTTAATTTTTCGACGATTCAAGATCTTGATTGCGACTTTGTGCCCAGTGCGTGCATGTTCTGCAATTTTCACTTTCCCGAATGAGCCAATTCCAAGTGTCTTTCCAAGCCTATAATTCATTAAGATCGTATCAGCACCAGCCCCTCCTTTGCCAGTAGATCCATCCATTTGTTCTGGTAAAAAAAACGAACAAACGTCTCATCATATTGAGAAACAAAATATTAAATATAACCGCTTATCCCTTTAAAGAGTTAACACATATCATTCTAAAAATATGTGATAGAATGAAAGAAAAACCAAATGACCTAGTTCTTGACACATCCATAATCAGGAACATAGGAATTTGGAACAGAAAAAGAAAGTTCGGTCAGAACAAGTATTTCCAGTTTCCAGAGAAATCAGACAATTTCATCTTTTCCAAAAAAATTATGAATTTGTGGGACTCAAGGAAAATCTCATAATGTGTATGGGTTTTAACAAATACATAAAATCTCCTGATATACTTTAAACAAAGGGGTTCTAAGCCACTGAACCAAATAGATACTTCAAGGTCACACTTATGCGGCAGAGTTTAATCAAAGAAGTGCTTGCCATATTCCTCATGCAGATTAAATATGTAACAAGTGCAAAGAATCTTCAGATCGGGTAATGACGAATAAACACGGGTGTGGTATTTTCTCCATCAAAAACATGCTGCCAAATACATTGATGCCCTCAAAGAAATATATCAGAGAATCCGACACTTCCTTTGCCTTGGCGGATCTTACATTTTAAAATCAAAGTGGAAGTCATATGTCTAATGCTGGTCATCTATCTAACACATTTTCTGAACATGATACTTCTGATAGTGATCTTTACCATGCCCATAATAGAAATCTTAACCAGTAGAGTAAGGAAATGGATGGGAGCCCTACTAACAGAAAAACTCCATTCAAAGCAGATCGGCAACACTGTGATCAACATCCTCATCCAGTGGATGCAGTTGGGAAAAGTTCACTGATAAGAACATCTAATGGGTGCCATATCCAGAAATAAACCACATCAGAGCATGCAGTTTCCGAAGAATCATCCAATAAAAAACGTAAGAATAAAAAAATGCGTCGACAGAGCCGGAGGCTTAGACGAAAGTAGACATCACGGGAAGCTCAGACGAAACCCCATCACGGGACGTTCTTGGCTACAGTCACACGTAAGGTAGTGTTACAAACGGGATTTCTTGAGGTAAGCACATGGGCAGTTTATGCGAAATTTATCCCCGGTGAAGCAAGGGCACATCTCGAGCGATCGAATACTAAACACAGGAGGTAAGGAAACTTCCCGCAGGCTGTTCCCCAACTCCGGAGGAAAAACATGAAATCTCTAGTCGCAACACTGAAAAAATTGCTGAGAAAACGATGTATCCAGCTCGGGTGACCGGAAACTGGGTAATCCAAATGGCAGCGATTCAGCGATCAGGCGGGGACGAGGCTCTGACCACTACGCTACAGGTCGGCACCAGCAGCACCGGTGGCTCGCCCCTTATGTCCAGGATGGCATCAAAGTGAAGCAAGCCAGGTAAATCGACGATCCCACCAGGAAGAGTTCCCATCCGGAAGAGTACCACAGGGGCAAACAACCACAGGAAGGGAATCGCAGAAGAAGGAAACAGAGGCATGCTGACCTTTTCAAGCAGAAATCCGTCACAAGTACTCCCGTGGAGAGGATCTCCTCATCCGCCCACGGCGAGAGCGGATGGGCTGACGAGGGCGCCCGCAGAGAGGAGGGGGTCGGTGATGGAAGAGGAGAGAGGGGAAGGAGAGAGAAAGAGAGAGAGAGAGAGAGAGAGAGGACCGGGAAAGGGAAAAGGAATCCGCAAGCCAACGCCAATGTGGAAAGATGGGCCAACTTCTCCGGTCCAACACGGAACCCAACTGTCCTCCTGGCCCAAAATAACCGCAAGCCCAACCAACTGCCGAGAGAGAGAGATTATGTACCCGTCAGAAAGTATTGGGCCAGCCCATTATGTCCTTACCAGGCCATAAAATGTGGCGCTAATGGGTGAAGGGGTTTCTGCCCTGGCCGGTTGCCGGCTCCACAGATTTCATTATCCACCCGCATCCCCGCCTCCGCAAGCCAGGAGGGGGTCGTCGCCTCTTCCCCAGGGAGATATCAGCAGCGGAGAGGAGGAAGAAGGCGGTGGAGGGGCCCTGGAGTGGGAGCATGAGCAGGCTTTCTCGTCGCTTGCTCTGCGGGGGTTGAGTGCACCATTTGTTCTCTCATGTCTTCTTTAGGTACTCCTCTCCCTCGCTCGCTCGGCTTCAGTGTAGAATCCTCTCTTTCCGAATGAAGGCATCGTTGCAGAGAGGAAACTCCCTCTCTCCTCCTCCCTCCTGGTGTTCAAACTGTGTCGCTTTTTCTGCGGCTGTGGAGTTGATTTTGTTCCTGTGCGGGTTCTGCTAACTTTGGTTTGTTGAGCACAGATTACTGGTTGTCTATCCTTTACTCTTGCTCCGGAATTAAATTTTCGTGAATTTTTATTTCGTGTAGATTATTGTGCGGAGTCATTAGCCTTTGTGGCTGCTTGTCCTGGGAATTTCCATTTTCGGCTTTGATCATCGTTCTTAGTGGCTGGCTTTGTGTCACTGGAATGATAATCATCATAATTCGTTTGGAGTTCTGGTCCTCTGCTATGACAAGTCGGGAAGTCGAAATCTCCCATTCGTAGACCGACGAAGTCCTTTTTTTACAGTATCGTGGGACTGTGACCTGTTCTTTACCATAGCCTTGTTATTCCCTGAATCCCTGCCCTCCTCTTTGAGGGAAGTCTTCGTTTATGGTATTTCCATTCTTGGGCGAATAGCGAGTGAGAAACTTCGTCTGAGGCTGCAGTGGTTTTTGTGATGCTCTCATTAATCATCTCGAATTGGTTAGTATTTGATTTTCGTCCCTTAATGTTTCCGTGCATTATTTCTAGGCGCTCATTTGGCTTCATGGGCTTGAATGATTACAGATTTTTATAGAATAGCCAACAAGGCCTGACCCGCAGATTCGTGAGGGGACCCATTTTCATGCTTTCTGAATTTATCGCTTCTTTTCTCTCTCATTAGTTCCCTGCTTCTTGGACAAACTCTTCAATCCTCTTCAGAAGAAGTTATGCTGGTGTAATGGCATCTCTTCACGTACTAGTCTGAATGACGAATTGCTTGCGGGTGACTCGAGCTTTGAGAGTATTTTTTTAGTAAGGTTTCGTAATTTTGATGTACTGGATGTTGGCTGAAGGTATTTCCTCCAGACAATCAGCTTCACCTTCGTATACATCCTCTATGATTTGCTATTTTTTCCGGTAAAAATTACGTCGGAAAATGATTTATCAAAATTAATGTCTTTCGTCAAGCTTAAAATGTCGATATTTATGTTCCACCATTCCCTTTTCCCTTGCTCTTGTGAGCTGAATCTCCTCTGTGATTGGGATCAAGTCTTTGCAGATATTGTTGCTTCACAGTCATCTTTCTGGGGTCATTTAACCGCACCAGGAGCCCAGCTCTTTTTTCATCACAAAAGCCAGATTAAACTCCGAAGAAGAGGAGGGTACCCTCAGGAGCAGAACATAGCTGTCGTCAGGGCCATAGCCACTCTAGAACGCAAAAGCTTGGTGGGCAGCGAGAATGACGCCAGATTCGACACCAGATTGCATCTTGACTCACATCCAAGTTATCAAGCCTCGGAGCTTTCAGCTGAAGATGACCCTGAAATGGATGAGAGGGAAAAGTCAAGACGTGAGAAGATCTCCAAAGCGAACAAGGGGAATGTTCCCTGGAACAAGGGCCGGAAACACAGCCCTGGTGTGAAGCTCATTATGATCTTATCTCTTACAGTTTGTTTTCATAAAATTACTCCTTTCTTATTGTGTCTCAGTTGTTGCGCAGAAACTCTCCAGAAAATTCGAGAACGAACAAAGTTAGCAATGCAGAACCCCAAGGTGATGTCATGTAAGAATAATTTGACATTTTTTTAAGATCACGAATCATCATAATGGGTGTTTCTGCTAAGCTTTTTCCCCTTAGAATATCCAGAGTTCATCTTGGTATCTGTTCAATCTTTCTCTGTGGTTCTGAAGTGGCCAGTATGTTCCCTGGTACTTGTGGAATCTCATGCTGCGAGGAACTGAATTCGGAGCTCTAGATTCTACTTGAAAAAAAAAGAAAAGAAAAATCCGGTTTACCTATTTCAATCTGGTGGGCAAATTATAGTACTTATCCAGAGATCTTGCCTTTTTTTGGAGGTTGCCTTTCACTTGAACCTTGTGTGCTGATACGCCCTTTATTATCTACTTCATTCATTGCCTCTAAAAAGCCTCAGATGCTTTATTTTCCATCGTACCAATCTAAATATAAACCGTGGGTCATCTCATGTTGAGCTGTGTATGCAGGTCAAGATGAAGCTGGTGAATATCGGGCATGTACAGAGGTACATGATTTTTTTTTTTTTTTTGAACATGGGTCCTCTTCCTACATCACTACGAAGATTAAATCTCGTCCATGAATCCGTTGAGCGAGGCAATTGCTGCCATGTAACCCCTCCATGCAATAAAATCCTGTTCTTTGATTTGTTTCAGTTGGAAACGAAAATATTTTAATCGAGACATCAGAGGCTTTCTCCGAAATGGGAATATCCTGAGGGTCTGTTAATTGGGCAAAAATAGATATATTCTCAAGAAGTAATTTGCAATCTTGCAGTGACGAGACGAGGATGAAAATTGGAGCGGGAGTTCGGGAAGGTTGGCAACGCCGGCGCGAGATGTTGTTGGTGCAGGAGAGCTGCTTCTTCGAGTGGCAGAACATAATTGCAGAAGCTTCTCGGAAAGGCTATGGCAGTGACGAGGAGCTGCACTGGGACTCCTACAAGACGTTGGATGAGCAACTGAAGAAGGAATGGATGGAGAGCATTGAGAGCAGGAAGGCAACGCCTCGACTTAAGGGCAGCAAGCGGGCACCAAAGTCGGCCGAGCAGCGGAGGAAGATCTCGGAGGCAATCTCTGCCAAGTGGGCTGATCCAGTGAGTTCATACACTGAAATCCAGGTGCATTTGATCGTATCTTCAAGAAAACAATCGTCATGATTGTGGATCTTCGTTTGCCATGGCCATATGCTTCAGGACTATCGCGGTCGAGTTTGCAGTGGCTTGGCCAAGTACCATGGCATTCCAGTCGGAGCTGAGAGGAGGCCGAGGAGGAAGCCGGCTGGTGACGGCCGATTGGCAGAGCCAAAGGTGGCAGCGAAGAAGAGAGTCACAGAGCCCAAGGACGCCGAGAAGGAGGCGAAATCGGCCAAGACGCTCATACAGAAGAAGAAGAAGAGCAACGCTCCCTCCTACAGAGACCCCATGGCACGGTCCAAGCTGGAGATGATAAGGAAGATCAGGGAACAGAGGGCGACGATGGAGGAGAAGAAGCGGGATGCGACTGAAAGGGCGAGGTGAGTGTTTCAGATGCCGGAATCTTCTTTTGGATCACCATCTCAGATCTCTCTCAATCGGGGATCGTGTTCTTCTGCGAACCAGACTGTTGATCGCGGAGGCGGAGAAGGCGGCGAAGGCCCTGGAGGCGGCCGCGTTGAAGAGCCCTCTCGCTCGAGCTTCTCTCCTCGAGACGAGGAAGCTGATTGCAGAGGCGACCCAGGCATTGGAGAGAGTGGGGCCCGGGCAGACGCCGCCGCTAGAGAATGTGAACCAGATGCCGCCGGCGAACTGGAACATATCTCTGAACCATTCCGACGGCGCCCCGGAGGCTCCGATAGACGCGGGGCAGCAAGTAAATGGTACGCCCTCCGCCTCTCTCTTCTCAATCCAGTGGGACGACAACGACGACGGCGGCAATGGCGTCGGCTTCGTTCTCTCCGACGAGATCTCGTCTACCGGGGGCGAGCCATCGCCGGAGATTCAAGGTTCGGAAACCGGCACCATGAATCCCGAAGTGTCAGCATCTCACCGGGGCTCCCCCTCTCCCGACGGGCTCGATGATGAGTCGTCTCCAAGACCTGGAGACGAGCGATCCTCGCCGGAGAGGACTGGTGATTCTTTCCAGTCCTCGCCTGCGGAGACCAAGAGGAGATGGGTTAGAGGGAGGCTCGTTGAGGTGGAGGAAGAGTAGAACGCCGACTGGGTCGAGCTCTCGAGGCCTGCAATTTCCTCCTCTTCCAGAGGTCCGATCCCCCCGGAGGAACCTGTACCTGTACCATATAGAAGAAGATCGGACTTTCAGGGAGTTGGCCTCCACGGCGCCCAATTTTCCTTCCTTTTTTTCTTCTGTTTGCAGTGAATTACTTAGAAGAAGAAGAGGTCTGTTGTCGCGCCGCTTCTCTTCCCGGGCGGGAATTGCTTCGCCTCCTTTCTTTCCGAACGTGGAGCTATCAAGGCGCGCCACGTACCGATGTTTCCCTCCCTCCCACAGTGCGCCACGTAACCCGAGCTAACTAAACCAGAGGCCTAGCTAGATTTAACCGGGGTTATTTTGACCGTGGTTACACAACGGTTTTGCCTTTTATTCGCTGGTTCTGTGTCGCCACAGTCAGCCCCCGCCCTGAAGCTCGCTTCTCGACGCATCTTCTCTTCCTGTTCTCGCCATGGGAGTTGCCAGCTTCCTCGTCATCCTGCTGGCCGCGGCCTTCGTCGGAGGGAGGACGGCGGTGGAGGCGCACAACATAACGGCGATCCTTGGCGGCTTCCCCGACTACAGCCTCTACAACAGCTATCTCAGCCAGACAAAGGTTGCCGATGAGATCAATGCTCGGGAGACTGTCACTTGCCTCGTCCTCCCCAATGGCGCGATGTCCTCTCTCGCCGCGAAGCGGTCCCTCGTCGCCATCAAGGCCGCTCTCCGCCTGTTCACGCTGCTCGACTACTTCGACGCGCAGAAGCTCCACGATATATCCGGCGGCACCGTGCTCTCCACCACGCTTCTTCAGACCACCGGGGTCGTCCATGGGAACCTCGGCTTTGTGAACATCACGGATCTGAAGGGCGGGAGGGTTGGATTTGCGTCCGCCGTGCCTGGTTCGAAGTTCGATTCCTTGTACACCAAATCCGTGAAGCAGATACCCTACAGTATTTCCGTGCTTGAGATCAGCGCTCCGATAGTGTACCCGGGCCTCCTCGACTCCCCTACCAAGTCCGATGCCAACGTGACTGTGCTCCTCGAGCAGGCCGGCTGCAAGACCTTCTCCGGTCTCATCGTCACGTCTGGGGTCCTGAAGAACTACCAGTCCGCCATGGCCAATGGTCTCACCGTGTTTGCGCCGAATGACGAGGCCTTCAAGGCCGCGGGTGTGCCGGATCTCAGCAAGCTCAGCAATGCCGACGTCGTGACGCTGCTGGAGTATCACGCTGCGCCGGACTATCTTCCCAAAGCGTCACTTATGATGTCCAAGGTCCCCATCAGGACCCTCGCCTCCGGCGGCTCCGGCAGGTACGAGCTGACGGTGACGACGCGCGGAGACGACGTGACACTGAACGCCGGAATGGACACCTCGAGAGTGGCAAGCACCGTGATAGATGATGCTCCGTTCTGCATCCTCACCGTCGACAGCGTTCTACTTCCCGCGGAGCTCTTCGGGAAGGGCCCCAACCCTGCTCCTTCGCTGGTTCCGACCGTCTCTCCCTCGCTCCCACCGACTGCTGTGGCGCCGTCTCCCTCAACAGTAAATGCAAAGGCACCATCGCCGGAGCGGCCATTGTCGCCGCCGGCCCCGCCCATGGAGTCCCCCGGTGAGTCACCAGTGGATGCACCGGAGGCTGCGGCGGACAGCAAGGGGGAGCCCACTGGGGGCACCGCAGATCCCTCCGTCCCGGTATTCTTGGTCTTGACAGCATTCGGATCGATCCTGTTGTTATCATGATCGACGTTTTCAGGCTTGCTAACCTCTCCCCTCTCATCGTCTTCCCTAACTTGCCCCATTTTGTGAGACTGTTCTCGGGGGACGTCGGGATCCCCTCCCTCCCCCATCATCGTCGTCCAGTTTAGAAAAACAAAAAGAGACACTGCAGCTCTCTCCTGCTTTCCTCTTCCATCAACCGCGAACGCTTCGCAGTGGTTGGAAAAGCGGTAAAACTCTCTCGTTCAAACAGAGTCGTCTCCCTCGCGCGGCAGGAAACCTTGCTTTTTCTCTTTCTCGACCTGTCAGTTCGCCGCGACAGGCGGCAATGGCAGTAGCTTTTCTTGGTTTCGGAAGCTGCCGCCTTCTCGGGGCACGGGAGGGGGTGGTCTGGAGGGGACGACGGGGGGGCGCTCTGCTTATCTCTGACAGGATTTATCATTTATCGTGCGTTATGATAATACTAAATATGGTATATATTTTTAAAATCGTATTAATTCGAGGTACTTTTTATAGGCCCGATTAATTTTCTTGGATTCTATGGCGAGTAAATTAAATGTAAACTCGTGGAATGGGCCACCTCTAGATGGGCCGACAGAGTGGCCCATCTGTCTGGCTAACCATGCGCTGCCGCGTGTCATCTCCTGGGTTGCCCTCCATTGGGAGCGTGCCGTCCACACACCAGGCTTACGGTGGTCGCCATAAAGATCAGCCTACCCTCACGCTGAGGAAGACGACAGAGGGGAAGGGGAGAGGGAGAGCTCCACCGGCAGAGGAGAGGAGAAGACAGGAACTGCAACTGCGGATGGCGTCCTCGGTCACAGCAGCAGTGGCGGCACCCGGCGTTGGGGCTTGCCTCTCGTACAGCCCCTCAGGCCAGTTGCTGAGCAGGAGAGCGCAGACGGCGCAGTTGCAGATGCGGCCTCCGCGACGGGGATCGGCGGTGGTGGCGCCGCGGGCGGAGGGGATCAATCCGTCCATAAGAAAGGAGGAGACGAAGGTTGTGGACACGGTGCAGGTGGCGGAGCTCGCCAAGCCCCTCACCGCCTACTGCAGGTAAGGAACCCGGATCCTCCCCAAGTTCTGCTGACATTGATTTGGATGATTCGGTCATCAGATTTTAGGTTTTTCTTCGCTGATTTTGCCTGAAACGTGTGGCAGGTGCTGGCGGTCGGGGACATTCCCGCTGTGCGACGGCACTCATGTGAAGCACAACAAGGCCACCGGTGACAACGTCGGGCCGCTCCTCGTCAAGAAGGAGTAGAGCGGGGGAGTGACGGAGGAATTTATAGAGGATGATGGAGAGCTTCTCCCGCTATGTCGTCCTCTGTTCGCTGAATTTCTCTTTGTTGGTTTCAGCTCATAATCTCCCGTTTGTTTTACCGAGATCTATCGTTTACTGTCATTTACATTGGCGCCCTCGTTGAATATTCAAAAGACGCTTTACCCCTTCAGATACCTAAAATTTTCCACACCCGTTCAAAAACGTGTATAAATTTGAAATAACGAACCATGTAGTAAACCCTAAGGATGATCCATGCGGCGCCTGCCTCTGTCTCTGTCTCCGTCTCCGTCTCTATCTCTTGCCTGCTCGGCCTTGATAGTACCTCTCCGCTCGATTATCGGTTACTGTCTTCTCACGTCGTTCTCCGATCCGCTGTTCTCTATGCCATCGCCGTTGCCGACCCACAGCCGGCGCTGAATGGTTTTGAAGGCGTCTCGGCTCACGTTTTTCTCTGATCCGCTGTTTCTCTGGACTACCGCTTGCGCTGGATAACGGAGAAGGCATGCCGTTGCTGCTTGCTTGTTCGTGCTTCCGCATGAATGTTCTTCTGTCTGCGGTGTAGCGTCGGATTAGATCTGTATGTTCATCAGTATTACCCTATATTACAGTTTCTGTCTTCCGAAAATTGTTGCCAGTGCGTTCGCTCTTGATCGTCCGAGTTCTCAATCTCTATCATCATGGTTTTCTGGGGCCATCCATCCTTCTTCTCAGAGATTGGATCCTAGCTCTTTCTTTTCACATTCTCGATTGAAAATCCTTCAAATGATGCTGGGATAATGCGCAAGGGCTTTGATCATCGCGATCAATGTCGCGATGTCATGAGATAACATCATGATGCTCCCTTCTGATGGCACACTCCGTCGTCACTCATCTTGCTGCTCTCATTGACTCAAAAACCATTGCTTTAAAGGGTTTGAATCTCCTCCGCTCTGGGATCATCCCTGTTCTACTGGTTAGATTTTCGTTTTGCTTATTCTTCCTGCTCGATTGATGGCTTTTGGTGCATGTTCATTTGAAGGAAATCTGAATGACTTTTTTCAGCTAAGTTTTAATTTCGTACAAAAAATTATTTATAAAAAAAATGGCCCTACGCTAGCTATGTGCCTGATATATAGACTTTCTTTAGCTAGATTTGGTATATGTATATATATATATATATATATATATATATATTTATAGAGAGAGGGGGAAGAGCCCCGCATGCCACCATCTCGCGTAGTTTCTTGAGGATCCGGAAGGCCGCGTAGGAGGAGATATCGAGGACGCAGACCTCGGATTTGCAACGTTCCGTCCGTGGACGATTTAAAGGCGTCTATTTAAATAGGCAATTGGAAATTTTACAGTTGGGTCAGAACAGCTGGCTCCGTTTCCAGCCACCTTCGTCGACCGCCTCATGTCCCTTGGACCATGGGACCCTTGGACTGGCTCCGTTTCCAACCGCCTTCCCTGGTTCCATGGGATTCGTCGACGGCTAGGGATTCTGGGCAGGAGAGATCGGAAGTCTGGACCATGAAGGAAGGGCCGTCGTCCTCTCCGCATCTGTTACTCGGCGATACCCGACCTCCCTCCCATCCGGCCGGCCTCCGACTCTCGACAAGGCGGCGAAATCTTTTTCGGTCCGATCCTGGGCTTCTCTGTGACACCGTCTCCGCCGTCGGAGGGAACCATCTAATGGTCGCCGCCGCCGCCGCCTCCGATCTGTGACCTGGTTCCTAATTCAGGAGCTCGAGCTATCAGAAGGATGAACGGTTTCAGGAGATCGGGATCGATTGTTCGCAGATTGTTCGGCGGCCTCAAATCCGCCGCCGTGTCACCAGCAGCGGCAAGGGCGGGAGGAGCTACGCCGGCGATTCCGCGGCAGGTTTCTCTCCCGAGCTTCAGGTATTCCGCCTTCTTCGCCCGCATCACTCGCCCTCATCCGCCATTCTCTCCGCCTCCCTTCAAGGCCGGAGCCGGTGGGCGGAGGTTCTTCTACGTCGACCGGCACCAGGTTCATCACTTCCGCCGCCGGGGAGCCCACCGCTGGTTCGAGAACCCTAGGACCGTCCTCCTCGTCGTCGTCTTCGGCGGCGCTGGTGTGGTCACCTTATACTATGGGAACCTGGAGGCAGTCCCCTACACGAAGCGCACGCACTTTGTGCTCCTGTCTCCCACAGTCGAGAGGCAGCTCGGGGAAAGCCAGTTTGAGCACCTCAAGGCGGAGCTGAAGGATAAGATGCTGCCGCCGACCCACCCCGACAGCATCCGGGTGAGGCTGATAGCCAAGGACATTGTGGATGCACTGCAGAGGGGGCTCCGAAAGCATGAGCGCGACTGGAGAGACCCAGAGTATTCATCTACTGCGCCTACGGTGGGCGGCTCTGGGGAGGAGACATGGGGAGCATCAGACTGGGATGAAGACGGGGAAGGCCGAAAGGAGGTGGCTTGGAGCCGCAAGGACGAGATCCTGGATGACAGATGGGTTCAGCAGAGTCGGAAGGCAGGGGAGGTTAGGGGTCTTGAGCCGGCGACAGAGCACCTTCAGGGCTTGAATTGGGAGGTGGTGCTGGTGAGGAACCCCACCACCAACGCCATGTGTCTTCCCGGTGGGAAGATCATCGTCTTCACTGGACTTCTCGACAACTTCAGAAGTGACGCGGAGATAGCCACTGTCATTGGTCATGAGGTATTGTATTGTTTAACATCGAGAAATCATTTTTTGTTAGAATCTGTTGCTGTCGTACAAACTTCAATATTTTGTCCTTTTAAGCGTAGGTTGGACATGCTGTTGCCCGGCATGCGGCTGAAGGGATCACGAAGAACCTGTGGGTTGCTGTGCTTCAGTTGATCCTCTACCAGTTCTTCGCGTTACCCGATCTCATCAATGCCATGTCGAGCCTTCTTCTGAAGCTTCCTTTCTCTCGCAGGTATCTGACGCTTTAAGAGCTCTTTTAGATATTGTTAATAGTACTGGGAACTTCCATGCGACTTTTTTGGTTTTACCGTTCATTAGTTGTCCAGTGATTAGTCTTAATGCACCCACCTGGTGAACCCCAGTGATTAGAACTTAATTTCAATATCTCTTTTAGAATTTAATGTAATCGGGAGATCCATGTAACTTTTTTGGTTGAATGATTTCAAGTTCATAATTTTGCTGAGTGCAGTAAAAGGAGCTGAGTTTGGTATAAAAGACTGAACCTCCTTGACCTGTTTTACGTAATGTTGGGCATAATTTTCGCCCAATTAAGTGGGGGCCTTAGGAAATGTGAAGTAGATGTGATACTTTCATTTGGACTTAGCTTTTGAATGTCTCCTATCAGAGGTCGATTCACCGATGAATTCATTGATTGCTAGTAAAACCCCGAACTCCAATCTCTGAGCGGTTGATCAGTTTTGTGAAAGCCAGCTATTAGGTCCACGTTTTTCTGCCAAGGATCCGGCTCAGTTTGTTCTATATTGATCATTTAGATGCAGATATGTTCTTATTATTAGTTCACCTGAGTGACCCATGCGCAGTTACCATTCTTTTGGAAGACTTGGTTTCTTTGAGACCAAGATTGTCTCCGAAGAGCCTGTTCTTTCAGGCTGCAGTTGATGGCTTCTTGTCCTTCACTTAGAGATGAATTAATTTCTTGGTGCCTGGGTCAGTACCATAACGCTCATAACGGTTTTCTTGATGCTTCTTCCCTGAATTGGTTTTGTTTTTTTTTTTTTTTTTTTTTACCCTTGTAAATGTCAGTGCTGTTCTTCACGTCGTTCCTCGTTTCTGCAACCAGAATGGAGATGGAAGCAGACTACATTGGGCTGCTCCTGCTCGCGGCGGCTGGGTACGATCCTCGGGTGGCACCAATGGTGTATGAGAAGCTGGGGAAGATCACCGGGGACTCCTTGCTGAGGGACTACCTCTCCACTCACCCATCCAGCAGGAAGAGAGCGGATCTTCTCTCCCGGGCCCACGTCATGGGCGAAGCTCTGGCCATATACCAGGACGCCATTGCCGGCCGCGGGGTGGAGGGCTTCCTTTGATATAGTCTTCTCTCCCTGTGATGGGTTCAGCCCTAATTACCGTGGATTTGGGTTCACTAGAAATGACAGAAGCCCATCTTGCGGGTGAGGAACCATCTGATCGATTTCTCTCTCTATCTCCTATTTGTGTTCTCAGTTAAACAATCTTGCCGGCAGAAATGCTTGTCCATGGGTATCACCAGATGGTCGCTATGTTATTGGGCCGCAAAGCCCACAATTCACCCACCCCCGCCCGCTGTCTGTCTGTCTGTTTCTCTCTCTCTCTCTCTCTCTCTCTCTAATTGCATCGCGGGTTGACAAATATGATAGCGACGGCAGAGTATATTGACAAATATTCACAAACTGGTTGTCAAAACGCTTTTGATTACGCTACCCTCGTCCCCCTTCAGGAATTCTTCTGTTTCTCCAAGCGGCCGCCGCTCTGTTCATCCTGCAGCGCTAATGGAATCCTTCGTCATGGGGATGTTACCGGCGGTGGCGGTGACGGCGGCCGCCGCCGTTATCCTCGGCCGCCGGCTGCTGTGGCCGGGGGGGAAACGGCCGGCGGCGCAGGTACCATCACGTCGCCGGCACCGTCTTGGATCAGGTCCTCCACTTCGACAAGATTTACGACTACCTGACGGAGCTCGCCCGTCGCCACAAGACCTTCCGGGTGCTCATGGAGTTCCGCTACGAGATCAACACCTGCGACCCCGCGATCGTCGAGCACATCCTCTCCTCCAACTTCCATGGGTATGGCAAGGTGAGTGGTGTTGGCGAATTCCTTCATCAAGTTCTCGTTGTTGCCCTCGTCTTGCTGCTGACGACGGGGGCGGATTAGGGCTGGTATTTCTACGAGACAATGGAGGCTCTCCTGGGGGACGGAATCTTCGTGGTGGACGGGAGCAAGTGGCTCCACCAGAGGAAGCTCTCCAGCCGCCAGTTCTCCACGAGATTCCTGAGGGACTACAGCGGCTCTGTTTTCAAGAACAACGCTACCAAGCTCGCCGAGGTCATCTCCGACGCCGCCGCCTCCGACGAGGTCATAGACGTTCAGGCAAGTCGCTCTTCCCACCTCGGCGATAAGGATTCTCTGAAACGCACACTCCGGTTCTTATTCAATCTCCATCGTTTTTCCATTTTAACAGGAGCTGTTCATGAAATCGACGATGGACTCGATATTCGAGGTCGCGTTCGGCGTCCAGCTGAACTGCGTGCAGGGTTCCGACAAGGAAGCGGCTAAGTTTGTGCGAGCATTCAACGAATCGAGCGCGCTGATCATGTGGCGCTTTTTCAATCCCCTGTGGAAGCTGGAAAGGTTTCTCAACATTGGGTCAGAAGCGGTGTTGAGGAAGAACATCAATAGAGTGGACGAGTACGTCTACAAGATGATCCACGCGAAGATCTCCCGGGGAGAAGAGCAGGTTGTGGACCTGTTGCTTGCACTCATCTCCTCCATCTCGCCTTCTTCCTTTTTCTCGCTCTGTTCGAGCACTCACGGAAGTGTATGGCGGCCCTTGCAGCTGAAGCAGGAGTCGGACATCCTGTCGAGGTTTCTGCAGGAGAGAGCGGAGGACCCTACGGAGATGAGTCTCAAGTACTTGAGGGATATCATTCTCAGCTTCGTCATCGCCGGGAAGGACACCACAGCAGGAACTCTGTCCTGGTTCTTCCACATGCTCTGCAAGCACCCGTTTGTGCAGGAGAAGATCTCTCGAGAAGTGGGGACCGTCCTCGGAGAGGCTGAGGCTAAGGCCGAGTTGTCCTTCGGAGGGTTTGCCGGCTGCATCACGGAGGAGGCGCTGGAGAAGATGAACTACCTCCGGGCGGCTCTGTCTGAGACGCTGCGGCTCTACCCGGCCGTCCCTCTGGTCAGTGGAAGCATCAGTGAACGTTACTGATATTTGTCCAAGCTACCTGGTTCGATTATGCTGATGATGTTTGGCCTTTTTATTGGTTTGAAGGATAGCAAGGTGTGTTTGGCAGACGACAGGCTTCCTGATGGGTTCGACGTGGTCGAAGGGGAGGTGATCAATTTTCAACCCTACGCTATGGGTAGGATGAAGTACATCTGGGGCGAGGACGCAGAGGACTTCCGTCCGGAGAGATGGCTGGACGAAGACGGGGTGTTCCGCCATGAGAGCCCCTACAAATTCACGGCGTTCCAGGTGAGGGAAGAAGAAGACGGGAGACCGGTCCTCCTCCATTAACAGATCTTTGTACTGACTTTGGGGTTCGCTTTCTGAACGGGACGCAGGCGGGGCCGCGTCTGTGCTTGGGGAAGGAGTTCGCTTACAGGCAGATGACGATCTTCGCGGCGGTCCTTCTCCGGTTCTTCGAGTTCAAACTGGCCGACGAGAAGAAGGCGGTGGAGTACAAGCCCATGCTGACTCTCCACATCAACGGGGGACTCCGCCTTCATGCTTTCCAAAAATGAGGACGACGATGGCGAAAACCACCGAGAAAGAAGGTACAGGTTGCAGATGGAGGGCAAGCAAGCTTACTTTGTTCGTTCCTTGTTGAATCAGCGTCCACAAGGCTACGTTGAAGCAGCGGAGCCGAGCCTCGAGCTTTCCACAGTTCTTTTGGTGACCATCCGTGCGGATTTCGGGTAAAATAAATATTGTCTATGTGTATCTAGAAGGCCCCATTGAATAAATATGCCAATGAAACTCTATCGGGGAATCCCCAATGGACGCCATCTTTGAAGTTCCCTTTGGAAGTGAGGTCAATAATCTGCTTGGGACGAACACTGAGACTCTGAAATTCGTGAGGGTGTTTGATGAGTGAGAGTGAGTTGATCAGCAGGTGTACCAATAAACCCCTGTAGAGGGGGCAACGCCGGTTCTTTAATGTCGGTGACTTCATTTATAAGATGACTTAGTCTATGGTCATAAGTACGTCTATTGTGTATACATTAACTGATTGTTATTTTGATAACTTTTAGAAATTAATTTGAAATCATCAATTTGATTATGTAGAATATGAATTTGATTGGAGATTTGATATATCAGACGAAATTAAAAAATCTACTTGATGAATACAACATATATTGTAAATTATTTCAATAGAAAGATGAAGGTGTAGAAGCATCAAATTGATGATCTTGATGATATTACATATCGTATACTATTTTAATTCATGTCAAGGGCATGAATGTTGGAATATCTAAGTTTCAATACAATAAAAAGTCTATATGAGGTAATTTTGTGATCATTTTATGTGCAAGTCTTAAAATTTCGTTTTTCTTTACCAATTTTTTTCCTAATATAAGCGCAATGAATAATCAGTAAACATATATTTGAGTGAGGAGTATAATGAAAAAATTGGGAGAAAACGATCAAATAGTTGAATTGCTATTTATTTTACATGATTACTTGAGTAATATTTTCACCCAAGGGCAAAATATAAATTTTTATCTCGAAAAATATGAACAGGGAAAAGCTGATCCAAATAAGAATTCATGACAGTCTTTATGATCATAAAATAAGGCATTTTGTGTAAACTAGGCAGTAAAAATATATCATTGCCCAATGATATTTTTTCACCCCATGATTATCAAACATTAATGACTATTGCAAATAACATTTGTTCTCTTTGGATATACTTTTTGAGATCTTCCAAGTATCAACACGCATGTTAGTGCACATAAAATAGTAGGATATAATTTTTTGGTACTTTCTACTTAAACATATTCGATAGGTCTACTTCCATGTTTTATGAATATATTTTTGAGGATTAATGATCAATTATTGAGCCTTCATATTTTTATGGTGATTTTGATTTCAGATTTATTTTATTTAATTATAATATGATTGAAAACATTATGTGGACATCCTAAATTAGAATAGCCAAGAGAAAATTGACTGATATCTAGACAAAAAAAGTAGCAGGTTCATTGGTGACAAAAATTTAGACTTGATTCCATTGGAGATATAAATATTTATAACTGAAAATAGATTACACATATAAAATGGTATAATTTTTTTTTTTTTGATGGCTCGTAAGGGGAATGAAAAAGTAGATTTTTTGAATCAGCAAAATGCTAAGGTATTTGGATGTGATTACTAGAAGAGGATCATATTTGCTGAAAACTTGAAAGTATTTGTCAAGGGAAGATATATTTTTTTGATGTTAAAAGGAATACAAAATTGAGTAAGAAAATTGCTAATTTGAGAAAGGTTATGAAATTAGGGAGAAAAACAATCAAATACGAAAGTAAAGAAATGTGAATCAATTTTAAAGATGTCACAGTAATAAAAGGGAGATTGTTGAGTCATAACTTAAGTCAGTATTACCTTACTAATTTTTATAAATTAATCTTAAATCATTAAATTGATGATGTGGAATATGAATTTTATTGGAGATTGATACATTGAACAAGATTAAAGAATCTAGGACTAATATGTTGAAGGATTATATTGATGGTCTTAACTATATTAAATATCTCACACTATTTTGATTATATTCAGGGGGTATAAATATCATAATATTTAGGTGGCATACAAGAAAAAGTTTGTCTGAGATAAATCTATCATCATCTTATGAGTAACATATTTTCTCAACTAAAACTCATGTAAGTCAAATTTATAGACTTTCTTACTCCATGAAAAAAAATACTACTTTAGTTTTCATTGAAAAAAATATAATTTTTATAAGTTTTATAGACATTTCTCTATAATTTTTCAATCGATGTGCAACCCACTATAGCTTACTTTAGTATGACCTTTTGACTCAATACAGGCTTATAAGGGGGAGTCTAGTACAACCATAAAAGTGATCATTTTGCCCAAATTTGAAAATATACAATTTTCAAATAGCTACAAGAATTTTAAAAGAGATTCTTTTCTTTTGTGACCTCTTCTCTAGTCTAGAAGAACAAAGGATGTGCATGCAATTTGGAGCCTTATGTAGATGTCCTTGACCAAGTTTGACTGCTCTAAATTGATAGTTGAAAACTTCATTGAATTTGTTCTAGATGATTTATTTATTATATTTTGATATGTAGTGTGTGAATGAAT